GCATCTGTCTTTGGCTCAAGTCATGATCCCAGTGTCCTGGAATCAAACCCCACGTCAGGCTCTCTGCTCAGTGGGGAGTTTGCTTCTCCCTTCCTCTCTGCCGTTTCCGCTGCTTGTGTGCTCTGGCTCTCTATCTCTCCCTGTCAAAAAAATAAATAAAATCTTAAAAAACTTGCTAAAATTTCAAATCAACATTAGTTGAGAAACTTTAAAAAAAGACAGAATGCAACCTGTAAAGATGAGGCATGGTGGGAGCCAAAGTCTCAAAGACCCTTTAAACACCTTCAGATGAGTTTTATCCAGTTCCCACTCTCCACAGCATGGGTTAAACCATTTCCTTGCTGAAAATCTTTGCTGTAATTTTTTTCAGTCTCTGAAAAGCTGTTTGATTTTTTATTTCAAACCTGGGGTATATCAATTTTTATATCCAATGAACAAGACAGAATTTATATGAATCCTTTTTAAAAGAACTTTGTAAATCATTACCCTTTCTCAAAAACTGTACTGTCCTAGCATCCACAAACTTCAGGGAAACATCAAAAGAACAAATGGCGTCCTTAAATTAAAATTAGCCAAACTTTCAGAAATCCTTGAGCTCCCTTGGCTAAATGTACTCCCACTAGTCTGTAAGGCCATATGACCCATTCCCTCAGAGATACATTGATTATGTCCCAATGAAGTGTTAACAGGAAGGCCCATACATTTAGAAATTTTATGCTTGATATTAGACTCTTCTCTGTAGCATGGAGATGTGGCAAAATATTGCAAGGGAATCATGTACCATACCCATGAATAAGTTAAGGCCAGCTTTTCACAACACTTTTAAATAGGTTCTTTATGGGGCACTGGGTGGTGCAGTTCATTTAGCATCCGGCTCTTGGTTTCAGCTCAGGTCATGAACTCCTAGGGCATGGGATTGAGCCTTGTGCTTGGCTCACTGCTTAGTGGGGAGTCTGCTTGAAGACTCTCCCCCTTTATCCCTCGCCCAACTCGGGCATGTTCTCTCTCTCGCTCTCTCTCAAATAAATAACCTTAAATAGGCTCTTTATGATCATCAACCAGGCAATTTCATCTATTGGAAGAGACAGTGGATAAAACATGCTCTTGAACCTAACTGAAAGGGATCTTATCAGGTATTATTACAAATCTGGCCAATATTAAAAAAAAATCAATGTCATTAAAAAATATAAGCAGTTGTGGAAACAAAGTCTATTGACATGAGAGTAAACAGACTGTTTATTCAGAACTTGATATAGGAAAGATTTCAGCCACCATCACCTGCATTAGGCAGAGACTCAAAGATAGGAGAGGAGTGAAAAAGACTTGTAGTGTAATAAAGGGAAAACTTCAGAAACACTGATTGGAAGTTGGAATGTGGAAGCTGGAATTAGGTTAATTAGGGCATCTTATGGTTTGGGGAGCTCACCCGGTTTATATTTGGGCCATGCAAAGAAATCTATATAAACAGCTTTCTTGAGTATAACTGATGATAAACTTCACATATTTAACGTGCACATATCACTTGTGTTATATACATACATATCTGTGAAACCATTATCTATATATCCATTACCCTCTAAAGTTTCCTTCCTCCTTTATGTCTCTCTCTTGCTTCCTCCCTGTAACAGATACAGAGCAATTCAGGTTATCTATTTTTTTCTTGAGAAAGCTTTGGTAATTTATGTCTTTCAGGAAAGTTGTCCATTTATCTGTTTTATTAAATTTATTACCATAAGGTTGTTCAAAATACATTCTTTTAGTGTTTGTAGAAAATTTCACTGCTCTCACTTCTGATATTGGTAGTTTATAGGTAATTTTCCTGATCAATTTGTTTAGAGGTTCAGCAATTTAATCTTCTCAAAGATCCAACCATCACTGTCATTATTTTTCTTTTATTTTGCCTTTCTATTTTATTGATTCAGTTTTGATCTTTATTATTTTCTTTCTTCTTATTACTTTGGATTTAACTTGTTTTTATTTATTTATCTAATTTCTGAAGATAAAAGCTGAGGCCACTGATTTGAGACTTTCTTTTCTATACAGGCGTTTAGTCCCATGTATTTCTCTTGAAGTACTATTTCTGTTACATTTCACAAATTTTGATATCCTGTATTTTCATTTTCATTTAGTTCAAAATACATTCTGCTTTGATTTCTTGTTTGACTAATGGCTTTTTAAGAGGCATATTATTTTTTCCCCAAATTTTGAGGGATTTGACAAGAATCATTATGTTACTGATTTCTAATTTAATTGCATTGTAGTCAGAGAACATTCCTAGTATGACTTGAATCTTTCTGAATTTATTGAAATTTGTTTTATGGTCCAGATTATTGTCCATCTTGCTAAAATTTCTGTATATATATATGAAAAGAATGTGGATTCTGCTGGTTGTTGGACCAGTGTTCTATGAATGTCAATCAAGTCAGAATGGTTGATGGTTTTGTAAAGTCTTTTATAACCTTGCTGATTTTCTGCCTATTTGTATTATAAATTATTCAGTAAAGGGCTTTGAGATCTATGATTATAATTGTGGACTTTTAATTTTACATTGCAGTTCTATCAGTTTTTGCCTCATTTATTTTGAAGCTCTCTTATTAAGTGAATAAGTGTTTAGGATTTTTATATATTTTTGATTTAATATCCTCTTTGTCATCATGAAATGATTTTTTTTTTCTTTTTTACCCCTGGTAATATTCTTTGCTCTGAAAACTAGTTCACCTAATACTGATGAAGCCATTCCAACTTCATTTGACCAGTGTTAGCATGACATATCTTTCTATCTTTGTACTTTAAACTTCAGTTTTTTTAAAAAGATTTTATTTATTTGACAGAGATTACAAGTAGACAGAGAGGCAGGCAGAGAGAGGAGGAAGAAGGCTCCCTGCTGAGCAGAGAGCCTGATGTGGGGCTCAATCCCAGGACCCTGGGATCATGACCTGAGCTGAAGGTAGAGGCTTTAACGCATTAAGCCACCCAAGTGCCCCTTTAAACTTCAGTTTTTATATTTAATGTAGTTTCTTCTAATCGGAAGCAATTAAAAAAAAAAAACCTATACTGATAATCTCTGCCTTTTAACAGGGGTATTTAGACCATTTACATTTAATGTAATGATTGGCATGAATCTATCATCTTACTATTTGTTTTCTATTTCTCCCACCTGTTCTTTGTTTCATTTTTTTTGTACTTTTTCTGCTTACTTTTAGGTTAGCCAAGTAATTTTTAGTATTTTTAGTATTTAGTATTTTAGTGATGGCTTTAGAGTTTATGATATACATATTTAACTTATTATAGTCTACCTGCAAGTAATATTATACACATCAGGAATAATATAAGAATCTTACAGTAATAGACTTCCATTTTTGTCCTCTGGCCTTTATGCAATTGTTGCCATGCATTTACTTTTACATATATTTTAAATATATGTTTCTGAACAATTTAATGTGTAATTTGTTATGTACACTGATGTAATGTTCTTCATCTTTCTTGTGTTTAGGTTTTGTTAAGCTTCTGGAAGGCAAGTTTGTGGGTAAAGACGCGATAGAAGGATTGAATTAGCAATATGAACTTACGGAAATTCTCTTCAGATTGCTTCAGTGTCCAATGAATTAGGAAGCAAGACCACTGCCTGAAACTGAGGATACAGGAAGATATGTTGGATGTGAGAGACGGTATAAAGTTGTCATGTAGAAGGGTAGGAGAAATCAAAGGAGGGTGAAGTTTAATATGGTTTTTGGGCATCTTTAAGGGCACACTTAAAATTAGTGATTTTGGGGCACCTGGGTGGCTCAGTGAGTTAGTGCTTCCACCTCCCTCTCTGCCTTTCTGCCTAGTTGTGATCTTTCTCTCTCTCTCTCTGTCAAACAAAAAAAAAATAAAATCTTTAAAAAAACAAAATTAGTGATTATGAATTGAAAGTCAACATGGTTGGGTGTTTTTCTTCTTTCAGTTTCAGTTGCAAAGGTGCAGGCACTTAGTATGTAGTTTTGCTAAGGCCAGAGTTGTGGCTTTGCCCAGTATTACAGTAATTCAGAGAGGGGCGGGGAGTTGAGGATGTATATAGGGAATGATTATATTGATTGATCATCAAATATATCTACATCAACTTCCCCAGTCAGAGTGGAAACTATTAGAAGGCAGTTCTTAGCGTCTAGAAGGTGCTGAACGTATTTGCTTGTCCCTGTATGGATGTGTCTTAACAGTAGAAAACCAAGGACTAAAGGAAGTTGTCGTATTGGAGCAAATTAGGTATATTTTCAAATAAAATGCTTATAAAGTCCTTAACATGGCCCACACAGCTCTTCCTGTCCTGGCTCTAGCCTTATTAAACCAGCTTTCCTTACACCACACTCCCACTGCTCTCTCATCTTCAGATATACTGAACTTGTTCCAGTTCTTTGCACTTGCCACACAGCTTCGCATATGTGCCTCCCTCTGCAGGGTTGTTTTATTCTTCCCTGGTAGCTGACTCATCTACTTTTCAGATTTCCTGAGTAATTCCTACAAATATTCCTATAAATTTAGTATCTAGTATCTTCTAGTACTTGTCACAGTTCTAATTTTACATTGGTGTTGTTGATAGCTGTTTACTACTATGCAGTAAACTGATACAGAGATCTTACTGATGACAGAGATCTTGAGTGTTTCTAGATCCCGCAGGGCCTACTATAGTCTATGGCACATTGGTAGGCAGTGTAAACATTCTTGGAAAAAAAAAAAAATAAATAAATAAAGGTGAAAGCAAGTAAATGTTGTATGTGAAGCCTGTTGTGGAGAGAATTCACAAGAAACTGGCTAGTGCCACACGCCTACCCTCCAAAGCCTTGCCCTGAATCTTACACAGAGCACAGGTAAGAAAGACGCACAGAAGCCTTTTCCCACAATTTCTGCCAGCCTCTGGGAGGAGCCTGCGCACTGGTCTCACCGGATATACGCCAGGGAGTGGGGGCGGGGCTCGGGTAGCCTAGGCAACATCCCGGAAGTTGTCGGCTGCGTTATCCTGTGGCGGGCAGGGCAGTTCTGGAGCCTGAAGTTTTAGTGGAGGTGGAGGAGGCCGTCGGGAAACGGAAAGGCAGGTTGCGACGAGGTGGCGGAGACCTGCAGCCTGTAGCCCCAGCGCGTCTTAGGGGCCGGTCTGCAGGACGGGGAAAACGGTGGTGGCGTCTCCCTTCTGTTCCCTAGGGCTTTAGGCGCCTGGGTGGAGGATACTTAGTACGGAAAGAGCACCGCGACTCTGTGTTTTGCGACTGTTTGTGTGTGTCAGGATGAGTGGGTGTGTTGGTGTCTAGCGCGCTCCCCTTAGGTGCACTCTGAGTGTGCGCAGCGCTTTCGGGGAGAGAACTGAAGGTGGGGGGTACCCTATTGTAGCTATCAAGGAATTTGCAGTGTAGCGGGAGACAGAATACCCAGGGTACCGGGGGACAGGGAGTGTCATTTCAGTCGACTGGATGGTCAGGAAAGAGTTTATCAGGAGGAGCCGCCGGAATGAGTTTTGAGGAGTGAGTGGAGTTAACCGCGTGGAGAAGGGAGCCAAAGTCTGAAGGGGTTCCCCGCAGAGCAGAAAGGATGGGTGGAACAACTTGTGAGGGGGAGTTATATGTGTGGGAGGTTGAGAGGAGCAAAGACTGGAAGGGAAGGTCAGCCCTGCCACAAGGAGGGCAGAGGGTCCTAGTGCGTAGCTGAGTTGGAGTCCTCTCTGCAGGGACGAGCTATTAAAATCTTTTGGGGAAGAAAGTAAAGGGCTGAGAGTTATACTCTGTCCTGATATGGGATAAAGGATTGATTGCAGGGACAGTTTTTGGAAAGAGGTCCTGTTTCCCTTTGGTCAGTTTTCCACCAGCCAGAGTGGATTTGCTAAATCTCATCATAACTCTCCTTCCCTAAAATCCTCCAGTGGCTTCTGTGGCTTCTTTTAGGATAGTGTTCAAATTGCTGTAGCTTAGAAGGCCATGATATGTCCTCTGCCTTTCTTTTTTAACCTCTTTCTAGCCCCTCACCTTTTCAAATTTGTTGATCAAACTGAACTTCTCAAACCCTTTGTAAATGCTTTTTCTCCCACCAGGAACATTCTTTCCCCCACTTCTAGCTTTATTCATACTTTAACTCTCAGCTTAAACATTTTGGGAGCAATTACAGGGATGTAGTGGTCTTTTTGTATTGTGTAGAGTAAGTTAGGTATTCACATGACACTGAATTTACTTCTTTTTATTGTAATTACTCATTTTAATTGTGGTCTTCTGATAAACCCTAAGCTCTGTGAAGGTGCAGACTATTTTACTTTCTTGTATTTTGTGCCTGGCTCTTGGCAGATGTTTTCAAAATATTTGTTGAAATAATGGATAACGAAGTAGCATATGAGTGAAGGAGTTCAGTTAGGAGAAAGAGCTTGGATGAAAACATTCCTAGTAGAGATGAAGAGGGGACAGATGAGAGAGATATTTCAGGGAAAGAATGAATAGATTACGGTATCTGATTCGCTAAGAGACAGGAAGGAATAGAAGATGATGCTAACTAAGGTTTTAAACTGGAGCAACCAGAAGGATGGTAATTGTGTAAGTTCAGACATGTACTGAGCATGCCAATTGTATATCAAGAACTAGAGGTTGGTGGGGAGGGGCATGGATGATAAGCTATATTTTGACTATATTGTATGTGAGATATTTGGGAGATACACACAGAAGGCAGTTGGAAATGAGCATTTGGTATGTTGGGGAATAATGTGGATCCTTGATTTGGGGCTCATTTTAACAGTGTGTTTATGTGCCCAGTGCACTTGTAGCTTTGTTCAAGGGTATGAGTAAGGTCACTGAGGGAAGATGTGAACACCTTTCTTACTTTCTAGTAAGAAAGTAAAAGTAAGAAAGCTCTCCATGAGAGCTTGTACCATATTAGACCTGTTTACTCCTTTATCTCCAATGCCAGTCAGTGTCTGGCATATGATAGCTTATAAAAAACAATTATTGGATGAAGAGAGAGGGTGTCCAATGTAATGATAAGAGGGTTGAGATAGAACTGCGTGAAGTTTTTGATTATGTGGTATCTGAGGGGGGGCCAACAGAGCCTGCAATGAAAAGGGGAGATGAATAGGAGAGAAACTGAGAGAAAAAGTGTCATGGAAACCAAGGGAGGGGAGGGCTTCCAGGAGTGGGAGTCTTTAGCGTTGGAAAAGGCTTGAGAAGAGGTAAGAAGGCACCAACCATGTACAGTTAGGAAAGTATTAATATTTTAGATTTTCTCCAGACAGGCCTAGATTTTCTGGGCTATGCTGATTTTGTACTCCTTAGTACTAAAAACCATCAGAATATCTCAATAGTCTCACATTTCAGCATATGAACTACAGCTCCCCTACGATATCTGATATCTGTAAATGACTCAAAGTCTCTTTGTTAGACCACAAAGTCTGATCCTGGGTTAAGAAAAATATGCCCACTTGTATTGGTGATGTTCAAGGGAACACTTTTCAGTGCAAGGGTTGTTCCTACATTACAGCTTAGTTCTCCCTTTGTGATCTTAGCACACACAGGCTGGAATTGAGAGTTGGCTAGCGTATTAGTCTCTTATACTGTATAACAAACGATCACAAACCTAGTGACTTAAAACAATACTCATTATCTCACAGTTTCTGTGAGGCAGGAATTTGGACATGGTTTAGCTCGGTAGGGTGCTTAGGGTCTCACAAAGTTATGATTAATGTGTTGGTGGTCTGCGTTCTCATCTAGAACCCAGCTTGGGAGAAGTCTGCTTCCAGGCTCACCTCACTTAGGTTATTGGCAGAATTCATTTCCCTGTGGCTGTATGCCTTAGGAGTCTTTTTATTGACTTTTCTGCTCGGGGCTGCCCACAGTTGTCAGAGTTCTCCGCCATATGGCAGTCACAAGTGGCAGTCGGCTTCTTCAAAACCAGCTGGAGAGACTCTCTTGCTCTACTTTCCTAAGACAGAGACTTGTGTGACATAATGTAATCACAGGAATGACATCTCCTCACATTTGCCTTGTTTTATTGGATAAAACAAATCACAGCGGGAAAAAACCTTGAGTAAGTCATAGATCCTGTCCAGACTCAAGGGTAAGGGATCATACGATGGCATTATTCATTGCAGGTTGTCTTAAGAGTAACCACAGCCAGCTTTGCTAGCCTAAATTGAAGTTTAAAAAAAAAAAAAAAAAGAAAACGAGAACAGTAGTAGACTATTGTAGTCCATTCAGACTTCCATAACAAAATACCGGAGACTAGGTAGCTTATAAATGAGAAATTTTTTTCTCACAGTTCTGGAGACTGTGAAGTCCAGGATCAAGTCTCCAACATGGTCATGTTCTGGTAAGGGCCCTCTTCCTGGTTCATAGCCACCACATGGTGTGTCCTCACATGGTGAATGGGGTTAGGGATCTGTGGAGCCCCCCCCCCCCTTTTTTTAAATTTATTTGACAGAGAGAGATCACAAGTAGATGGAGAGGCAGGCAGAGAGAGAGAGAGAGAGAGAGAGGGAAGCAGGCTCCCTGCTGAGCAAAGAGCCCCATGTGGGGACTCAATCCCAGGACCCTGAGATCATGACCTGAGCCGAAGGCAGCGGCTTAACCCACTGAGCCACCCAGGTGCCCCTGTGGAGCCCCTTTTATGACAGCGCTAGTCCTATTTATGAGGGCTCTGCCTCCCAAAGGCCCCACTTCCCAAAGGCCCTACCTCCTAATGCCGTCACTTTTGGGGCTTAGGATTCAACATGAATTTTGGGGGAACACATTCAGACCATAGCATCTACCTTCATTTCATTGCAGTTTTTGTCAGTGAATATGGTTTTTTTTGGGATGTTACATTTTCTTATGCTAAAATTGAGACCTGTTCACATTGCCACAAATAATACTCAGGCATTTGTTCAGTTGTTTGTATTAAATTTCCACATCTCTTTGCTCAAGAAAAGTTCTGTTTGGATAATTATATTTATCATCAGAAGCCACCATTAGTGTACAAATGGCTATGATTTAAAAAATACTGCTTTTCCTAAATTTCTGATACTGTTATATTGAGGGCCTCACCAATGAAAGAAGTATATGGGCCTTTTTTGACTGCTCATAAGCTTTTGCATCTGTCAGACTCATGGTTGGTTTTTCAGAATTGAGGCTGAGGTTTTTCAGAATTTCAGAATTGAGGCTGAGGTTTTTCAAAATTTTAGCTTCTGAATAAGTATAGTATTTTAAATAATCTAACTTGAAATGAATTATTTTAAGAGGAAAATGGATTCATTGTAGAAAATCTGGAAAATCTAGAACCAACCAGAGATAACTCAGTATTAGTGCCATTTTCTAGGAAGTACATTACATTTAGTGAGACCTGTGTTTTTGTTTTTTTCCCAAAAAGGTGATTTTATTAAAGCATGGGGACAGAGCTCGTGGGCAAAAAAAGCTGCTGCTGAGTCAGACCTGATTTTGAATGTCACCTCCCACCTGCCCATTATTATTTGTGTGACTTTGAGCAATAATAATGTGCTTAATCTTTCTAAGTCCCATTTTTCTCATTTGAGAAAGGACTAATAGTTGACACCATTAACACCAGTTAATGACACCATCGTCATTAATCCTAATTAGAACTTAGTATGTTCTAGATAGGGGTTTTCAGCAACTTACATATTTAATTAGTTCCATTTTACGATTTCTGGCAAAGTTGGGATGTGAACCCAGACAGTCTGGTTTCAGTCTGTATTCTTAACCGCTGTATTGTCTCTCGAGACAGAATGTGTCTCATAGGGTTGTGGGATTAAATGTGAAATGCTTAGCATAAATAAATGCTTATTAATAGTGTATGTATATTAACATCATTGAGAATATACTATACTTGAAGTTCTATATTCTACTTTTTACACTTAATTTTATGTTTTGTTGTGTCATTAAACATTTTTCTTAATACAATTTTAATGGGTATATAATTCATCCAACAGATTTAGTGACATTTTATTATTCTCCTTTATTTCTGCAGAGTAAATTGAAGAGTAGGTTAGAGAGTAAAATACATTAGAAACTATTTCTGAACAACTGTTATATTTTCCATATCTTTTTAATAACAGCTTTATTAAGATATAACTTATATACCATGAAATTTACCCCTTAGAAGTCTGTAGTTCAGAGCTTTTAAATAAATTTACAGAGTTGTGCATTGATTGACTGACTCATTTTAGAACATTTTCATCACCTCAAAAAGAAACCCCGTTCCCATTAGCATCCATTCCCTCCTCCTTTCAGACCCTGCCAACTGCTTGTCTCTTTTTTGTCTCTATGGATTTGCCTATCCTGGACATTTTGTGTAAATAGAATCATACAATATATGGCCTTTGGTGTCTGGCTTCTTAACCATAATATTCTCAAGGTTCCTATGCTATGTTATAGCATATATCAGTACTTCATTCCTTATATTGCTAAGTAATATTCCATTGTATGGATGCACCATATTTTATTTATCCATTCAGCAGCTGGTAGACATTTGGGATTTTTCCGCTTTTTGTCTATTAAGAATATAATGTTGCTATGAACATTCATGTGCAAGTTTTGTATTGGCATAAGTTTTGAATTCTTGGACATATACCTAGGACTAGAATTGTGGTAACTGTTTAACTTTTCCAGAAGCTACTGAACTGTTTTCCAAAGTGGCCATGCTATTTTGCATTCCCACTAACAATACAAGAGTATCGTTTCTCTGCATTCTCACCAACTCTTGTTATTTCCACCCTTTTGTTTATAATCATTCTAGTGGGTATGAGGTGGTATGTCATTGTGGTTTTGATTTGCATTTCTCTAATAATGACTAATGATGCTGATCATTTTTTCATGCGCTTATTGCCCAATTTTAGTATCTTCTTTGGAGAACTGTTTATTCAGCTCCCTTAGCCATTTAAAAATTGCAATATTTGTGTTTTTCTTGGTGAGTTTTAAGTTTCTTTTATATATCCTGGATCCAAGTTTTTTATCAGATGGGATTTGCAAATATTTTCTCCCATTCTGTTGGTTGTCAAGTCATTTTCTTGATGGTATTTTTTGAAGCACAAAAGTTTTAAATTTTGATGGAGTCTATTTTTTCCTTTGGTTTCTTGTGCTTTTAGTGTTATATCTGAGAAACCACTGCTTCATGAAGATTTATGCTTCTATTTTCTACTGTGAGTTTTATGCTTTTAGCTCTTAAAATGAAATTGGTGATTTATTTTTAGTTAATTTTTATGTATGTTGTGAGGTAAAGGTCTTAATTCATTCTTTTTCATATGGATCTCCTGTTGTCCCAGCACCATTTATTGAAAAGACTATCCTTTCCCTATTGAATTGTTTCTTGGCACCTCTGTTGAAAATAAACTGACCATACACATGATGAGCACTGGGTGTTATACACAACTGATAAATTATTGAACACTACATCTGAAACTAATGATGTATTATGTATTGGCTAATTGAATTTAAATAAAGAATTAAAAAAAAAAGAGAAACTGACCATAAATGTAAGGGTTTGTGTTGGATTTTTAAAATTTATTTATTTATTTATTTAAAAAGATTTTATTTATTTGACAGACAGATATCACAAGTAAGCAGAGAGGCAGGCAGAGAGAGAGAGAGGGAAGCAGGCTCCCTGCTGAACAGAGAGCCCGATGCAGGACTCTATCCCAGTACCCTGAGATCATGACCTGAGCCGAAGGCAGCGGCTTAACCCACTGAGCCACCCAGGTGCCCCTGTGTTGGATTTTTAGTTCTATCCTATTCCATATCTTTTATTTATTTATTTGTTTATTTTTTAAATTATTAATTTATGTATTTGAGAGAGAGAGTACATGTAGGGGAAAGGGACAGTAGGAAAGGGAGAAGCAGGCTCCCCACTGAGCACCCTGACAGGGTCCTTGATCCTAGGACCCTGAGATCATGTCCGAAGCTGAAGGCAGATGGTTAACTGACGGAGCCACCCAGGTGCTCTGTTTGTTTATTAAAAAAAAAAAAAAAGAAAAAAAAGATATTCCTATTTATTTGAGAGTGCACACACATGAGTGGGGGGAGGGGCAGAAGGTGAGAATCTTCAAGAAGATTCCCCGCTGAGCATGTGGCGTCTTAACACAAGGCTCCACCTCTTGACCTGAGATCCTGACCTGAGTGGGAAACCAAGATTTGGTTGCCCAGCCCAACTGAGCCCCCAGGCTCTCCCTCTATTCCCTATCTTTTAAAATGGTATTTATGGTTCTGCCACTTCCTGTGTGACCTTCACGGTTAGTTAAATTCTTTGTCCCTTAGCTTTCTCATCTGTAAAATGAGTAATAAATAGTAAATACTTAATGGGCTTACTGTTAGGATTAAAGGAAATACTGTGTGGAAGAACTTACTTAGAACAGTACCTTAATTCTGTTAGCTAATGCAGTCATTACCACCTCCACTGTCCTCATTACCATCACCATAAGACAATTAAATGTTATTCTCTAATTCAAATGTGACTTATCGCTTTTGCTGGATTGTAAACCCCGAAAATAGATGACATGTTTGAAGAGTCAATGTGATTGATGAGACAAAGCAAAGAGGACTAAGGAGAACCTCTTGAAAATCCTTGCATTTGGATTTTTTTATTACTTAATCATTTTTTAAAAGTGTGCTTAAGGAAGATCCTACTGTCCTTGTTTTAGGATAATTTGGAAAAAAGGGGGTCCGCTGGAAAGTTCTGTAACTATTTAGGTGTGTAATGAAATTTTGGAATGGGAGTCATATATATGTGTTGCTTGTTAAAAGTCACATACATGTTTTGTAAAATCCTAGTGTACAGGAACTATGAGTCTTATTCTAGTTTTGGGTAATATTTAGTCCAGTGTCCTTAGCATTGCTGTTTTAAGAGTGCCAAGCAAATGTTGGCAACTTCCAAATGCCAGTTTAGTATCGGCAGTCACCCTCCCTTAGTACTGTGTGGGAATATACTAGAATGATATAACTTGTTTGTTCTCTAAAATTTAGCCCCTTTTATTTTAGGTAAACACATATATATCTATGGTAGTGATTTTAAGTAATAGGATGCTCAACAAAGAACTCCAACTCTTGGCCTTTTTCCTTTTGCTTTCAGACTGTTAGCCTGTTACTGACATTTTCTCTGTTAATTGTGAAGTTTGTAACTGATGACAAGCTTATACCTGCTGTCGTAGCTCTGATCTTTATCATAATTTGTATTCCTGGAGTTCTTTATTAAGCAAATAGATATAAGCTATTAACTTGAAACCTGTTTTATCATAGTTATCAGTATAGCTTTCTAATTGTGAAGTGAAAGAACCAAGTATTTTGGAAGACTATTCCTTTCATTATGCTTAAATTTTTCCTAGATGTCTTTGTCTCCATCCAGAGATACTTAATTACCACTTTTTCTTGTATTTTAAAAATTTGATATGGTTATTACTTCTAGATGTCACTTGTCAGAGTGAACCGTTATGGTCCTCGGGGAGGAGGAAGGAAAGTGCTGAAGGTGAAGAAGAAGAAAACGTCTGTGAAGCAAGAATGGGATGTAAGTCTAGATGGGTTAATAAACCTGTAAGATTGCTCTGGGGGAATAGATGTGATGATGTGGCCCTGGTCACTCGAGACAATGCTCTGAACGGGATAGGGTGGAATGGATTTCTGGGCGAGTCATATCCCAGGTCTCGGAAGGACACAAGTCAAGGTCGTAACCTATACCTCTTTTGAAGAGGAAATCTTAAGAAGCTGGGGAGTATATTTTTAAGAAGTCCCACTTTTTAAACTTTGAGAACTTACTGCTTTAAGGCAACTGGAGCTACTCTGTGAAATCTGAATTTTAAGATTTGCCCATAGCAACCAGTGATATCATAATCATATGAGTGACATTTTGGGTTGAGAAAGCGGGTGGTTCTTGTTCTCTTACTCCTTGAATTGTTTGTTTTTTACCTCCAGAAGCTGGTCAGTTTCAGTACAAAGATACAGGACAAGTCTTAAGTACCTGGGACATATGACTCCCAGCTTCCACTCTGATTACTGTTCAGTATTATCAAGGGCATCTTTATTTTTCACAGCATGGTACTTTAGTTTGAACTGTGACACTTCAGGTGCCTTTTCTTTCTGTTGTGGAGAGCAGCTAGTCAGGGACTACTTGGGATCTCAGGGATTCTTTTGGACTTGGAAACTTCTGAGCAAACTGACAGCCTTTTTGAAGGGGCTCAGGGGGACTTACCTATGTTTATATTGCTTTGTTGTCCTCTGATTGGCTATAAAATATTATAAGGGTGTGATTCTAAGGCAATGAAACTGATTAAAAGGAAAAAAATGCATTTGATAACTTAGAAGTTATCCACTTCAGAGTGGTTACTGTGGGAGTTTAGTATTTATTCTGATTTGCTGCTATTGCTCAAAACATAATCAAAACCCACCATTTGAAATTGCATTTTCCTCATTTGCTTTTCATTATCTCCAGTGCTGGAAAAGTCCGTTTTTTGTAGACAAACTTGGAAGTAGTTTTAAGTCATTTGGAGTAAATGGTAAATGAAGGAGGAGAGATCAAACTGGATAATACTGTTTTGATAAAAATAGTGAGATGGTTTTTGAAATGGCATGTAAATTATATTTAAAGGCAATTTCAGAAGAAAATCATTTTAAGCAGTAGTACTTTTTTTTTTTTTAAAGATTTTTATTTATTTATTTGACAGACAGAGATCACAATAGGCAGAGAGGCAGGCAGAGAGGAGGAAGCAGGCTCCCTGCTGAGCAGAGAGCCTGATGCAGGGCTCGATCCCAGGACCCTGGGATCATGACCTGAGCTGAAGGCAGAGGCTTTAACCCACTGAGCCACCCAGGCGCCCCAAGCAGTAGTACTATTAATGACATTATATTTTCTCCCATGAGAACTAAGTCCAGGCATATCCCCTATATACTTGAATTTTATTATATTAAAAATCTCAAGATCTTATGGTTATATCTTGTGCTTTTCTAAATTAATATGAAAGCAGTAACAGTTTTAGTATAGAAAACTCTTGAGCTAAATATAAACTATGGCCAAAAAGTTAAGTCTTTGAATATGTCAGAAGCTATTTCACCAGATCCAATTCTCTTATATCTGTTGGTTGTAGAACTAACTTGTTTTATTTCCAGTCTTACTGAATCTAACAAAATGACTGAAGTCACTTTCGAGAAGCCAAATCGTAGGGCAGTTACTTCAAGCTGTTGTAGGTTATGCATTGCACAATCCCAGTGGTAGCTCCTGGAGTTGTGGGGTGTGGTAGACCTGCCCTATTGGCTTAGTGCCTTTTTACATAAGTGACTGTTCTCACATTTTATGAAATTATACAGTGCCCTCAAACTTTATCCCTTATTATGTATGATACATTCTATGCTCAAGTTGTTTGCATGCACACAAATTTAACCTCTCTATAGTGATCACAGTTTATCTTTTAGGAATCTTTAGAGGTACCTCATTCCTTGGAATGCAGTTTGAAAACTAGTTAAACTTACTCATTTTGAATTATATAACTACCCTGTTTTATTCATTGTATTAATATAATATATACCTGCTTGGTAAATTTAGTGCTTATTTTCTGTAAGATACCTAAAAATAGCCTGTTATGTTTTAATAAGACAACTAAAAAGAATCCATATTAATATTTAAATTGAGAATACTGGTTCCTGGACAGGAAGTCGTTTTCATCCCAGGACTTTGAATCTGTTTCAACCTTTAAAATCTAGGATGTACTCATACCTAACCACATATAAGTGAACAATGTAAGTTCATAGGTGTGACTTAACTCTCTGAAGAATGTGAACAAATATGGTAAGAATTTTGAATAATAAAACTAACATTTTAGGGCGCCTGGGTGGCTCAGTTGGTTAAGCGACTGCCTTCAGCTCAGGTCATGATCCTGGAGTCCCGCATCAGGCTCCCAGCTCCATGGGGTGTCTGCTTCTCCCTCTGACCTTCTCCTCGCTCATGCTCTCTCTCACTGTCTCTCTCTCTCTCTCTCTCAAATAAATAAATAAAATATTTAAAAAAAAACAACTAACATTTTATTTTAATTTAAATAAGCACATTTGTTTTATATATTATGTAAAAATAGAAATATTTCATTTCAATTTTAAATAGCAATTTTATCTTGCTAGAATGTGATGATCAAACAAATCTCTTAACTCTTCAAAGAAAGGTTTCTTGGAGGTTAGCATGCTTAGTTAAGTCCATAATCTTTTAACTGAGGCCCGTTTGGCATGAGGGAGAAAAAAGGTACACCAGGCTTAAGCTAACAAAAAAAGGCCTTTGAGGGGTCTCTGGCTGGCTGAGTCAGTAGACCGTGCAACTCTTGATCTCAGAGTCATATGAGTTTGAGCCACATGTTGGGTATAGAGATTACTTAAAAAAAAAAAAAAAAAACTTTAAAAAATTTAAAAAAGAAGGCTTCTAAAAAAAAAAAGGAAAATGAATGTAAAATAAATTAAAATTGATTTTAAATGTTTTTTAACCCAGTTTAAAGAAAATTTTTCCTGTAAGAAAATTACCCAAAGTGAACAAACACTGAAATCCTATTTAAAAAAAAAATCCAGTATATACTAATATTTTGTGAAAACCTTTTTTTTTTTTTTAAAGAAGGTTCTTTTCGTTTTTTTTTTTTTGCAGAATACTGTGAATGATCTAACAGTTCATCGGGCAACTCCTGAAGATCTGGTAAGTTTAATATCAAAAGTTAAGATTTGTTCAATGTTTTATTTGATACTTGGTTTCTGACCTTCAGAATAGAAACCAGAGGTCCTTCCTGAAAGTTGTTTAGTTATATTTAATCTTGCTTATGTCTATATGAAATTGAAAAGCATATCATCTGGACTTCCTGATTTTACGTAGGAATGTCACTTAGCATATATTAAAATTTTATGAGATAGGTTTGGTTTCAAATCACTGTTCAAATCTCTCTATTCCAGTATTGCCCTGTATAAATCTCTTGTCTTCTATCTGTACATATCTCTAGCCTTATTTACTGTTGCTTCTGTATGCAAGCATACCAGTCTAGTGAATGTGCTAATTTATTCCTTGAATATGGCATGTATATTTCCACATTTGAGCCTCAATTAAATGATTTTTTTTTTAGTTGGAACAGTTTCTCTACCTTCTCTACCTTCTTGACTACCCATCCAAATCTTAATTTGCTTCCTTGTCCTAGTTCAAGTCTTACTTTTAAAAAAGGTTTCTGCTATAGATTAAAAAAAACAACAGCTTTATTGAAATACAATTCACATACCATAAAATCCACCCTTTTAATGTGTATGATCCATTGGTTTTTAGTATATTCATATTCATATTTTCTTTTTTTTAATTTTTTTTTTAAAAGATTTTTTTATTTATTCATTTGACAGATAGAGATCACAAGTAGGCAGAGAGACAGGCAGAGAGAGAGGAGGAAGCAGGCTCCCCGCCAAGCAGAGATCCCCACGCGGGGCTCGATCCCAGGACCCTGGGATCACGACCCGAGCCGAAGGCAGAGGCTTTAACCCACTGAGCCACCCAGGCGCCCCCATATTCATATTTTCTGATTTAGAACATTTTCATCACTCCCTGAAAGAAACCCTGTATCCTTTTTTTTTTTTTTTAAAGATTTTATTTATTTATTTGACAGACAGAGAACACAAGTACGCAGAGAGGCAGGCAGAGAGAGAGAGAGAAAAGAGGAAGCAGGCTCCCTGCTGAGCAGAGAGCCTAATGCGGGGCTCTATCCCAGGACCCTGGGATCATGACCTGAGCTGAAGACAGAGGCTTTAACCCACTGAGCCACCCAGGGACCCCTTTTAAAATTATTTTTAAAAAGATTTTATGTATTTTTTAAGAGAAAGAGGGGCAGCAAAGAGACAGCATGAACACAAGCAGTGGGAGGGGCAGAGGGAGAGGCAGAAGCAGACTCCATGCTGAGCAAGCAGCTTGATGTGGGGCTTGATCCCAGGACTCGGATCATGATCTGAGCTGGAGGCGGACGCTTAACCAACTGAGCCACCCAGGCGCCCATATTCTGGTCATTTCATGTAAATGGAAGACAATGTGTGTCCTTTAGTGTCTAACATAATGTCTTCAAAGCCCATCCATGTTGTAGCATGTGTCATTACTTCATCCCTATTATTGCTGATACTGTTACATTGTATGGATATACCCGTCTGGACATTTGGATTGTTTTCACATTTTAACTATTATGAATAAGGGTGCTCCAAATGTTGGTGTACAAGTTTTGTGTGAACATATGTTCTCAGTTCTCTTGTTGTATACCTGGGAGTAGAATTGCTGGGTCATATGGTATCTCTGCAGTTAGCTTTCTGAAGAGCTGCCGAACTGTTTCTCAAAGTGGCTGCACTATTTACATTCTTACCAGCAGGCATGAGGGTTCCAATTTTTCCATATCCCTTGCCAACACATGTTATTCCGGTTTGAGTTTTCCTAAATGAGTGTAAAGTGGAATCTCATTATGTTTTTGATTTGCCCTAGGGACTAATGATGTTAAACATCCTTTTGTGTGCTTATTGGCCATTTGTATTATCTTCTTTGGAGAAATGTCTATGCAGATTCCTTAGCCAGTTAAGAATTGGATTACTTGTGTTTTTATTGTTAAGTTGTAAGAGTTCTTCACACATTCTGGATCCAAGTTCCTTATCAGATACATGATTTGTAAATATTATCCATTCATAATATCCAATATTATCCATTGGTTGTCTTTTCATTTTCTTGATGGTATTCTTTGAAGCACCAAAATTTTTAATTTTGATAAACTCCAGTTTATCTGTTTTTTCCGTCAACTGTGCTTTTTGTTTCATCTAAGAAACCATTGTCTAACCCAAGATTCACAACAATTTCTCCTGTGTTTCTTTCTAAGAGTTTTACAGTTTTAGCACTTATGTTTAGGTCTTTGATCCATTTTGAATTAATTTTTGTATATAGTGAGATAGGGGTCCAACTTCATTCTTCTCTAAACGGATAGCCTGTTGTCCATGTACCATTTGTTAAAATGACTGTCCTTTCTCCATTGAATTCCCTTGACACCCTTGCTAAAAATCAATTTTCTGTAAACATAAGGGTTTAGTTTGGACTGTCAGTTTTATTCCACTGATCTATATGTCTGTCCTATGCCACACAACATTGTCTTGATTATTATAGTTTTGTACTAATTTTGAAGTTTTTTGAAGCTGCCCAACAATTGGTATCCCCTCTAAGCTGTTCTCATACTTACTGTGTATATGAGGCATTGCGTATGTGCTGTCTAATGTATTTCATTTATCTTTATATGGACAGTTGGTCCTTAAACAATGTGGGGGTTAAGGGTGCCACCTCCTGCACAGTTAGAAATTTCTTATATAAGTTTTGACTACCCTGAAACTTAACTAATAGCCTACTGTTGACAGGAAGCCTTACCAATAACATAAGTAGCTGTTTAATACGTTTTGTATGTTATATATACATATAACATATAAAAAAGTAAGCTAGAGGAAAGAAAATGTTATTAAGATCATAAGGAAGAGAAATTACATTTACAGTACTATACTATATTTATTGAAAAAAGTTCATGTATGTGTGGATTCAAGCAGTTCAAACCCATGTCATTAAAGGGTCAAATGTATGTGCTCAGTCTCCTGGGGCAGATTGTTAATGCTTTTGAGGGATAGGGGCTATCTCTTGTATATCTTTGTGGACCTAGAAATCTTAATCCTAGTAAATAGGATAATGATGTCCTACTGACTTAAAAATTTTTTTATGAAAAATTTCAAATTTACATGAAAATGGAGATGAAAATATGAAGATCTTCTATGTACTGTTTATCCAGATGTAATAGTTATTAAAATTTTGCCATAGTTTCTTCATTTTTCATACCCTTTCCTTCCTTCACTATAGCATTTTGAAGCAAATCCCAGAGAACATGTCATTTTGTGCCAACATATTCCGTTTACATTTTTAAAAAATAGATATTTTTTCTATAACTACAATGCCATTATCCCACCTAGCAAAAGTAACAATAATTTTTTAGTGTTGTCTGATTCCAAGTCCATATTCATATCACCCCAGTTATCTCAAAAGTAGCATCTTCATTTGTTTTTTGTGTTCAGAATCCTTACACAATATTTGGTTGTTGGTCTCTTAATGGACTGATTTCTTATTTACATGGTGAAAACAAAGCAGTACATTTTATTCATCTTCATAGTTCTGAATACTAGAGTGCTTATAAAGCCAATATCTGTTCCTATTCCTTAGCCACTTCAGTGAACTCCTCTCCTGCAACTCTTAAGCTGTGGCTTGTATCTCTGCTTCAGGAATTCCACTTTTCTGGAGTTCTGCATTTCCAGTGACTCACTTCCAAATTGCAGCCATTGCAGGGCTATAAAAATACTACATTGTTAGTTTTTGGTAGTGACGTGAGTATTATGAAATGGGTGTGTCTTTGCCAAAGATGAGTCAGTGGACTTTGTGCCTTTTACATTGTACTCTGTGTGTGTGTATGTGTGTGTATAATTGTACAAGTACACATATATGTAACTGAAAAGTTTAACAGAACAATTCTTAACTTTCTTTTTTTTTTTTTTAAGGATTTTATTTATTTATTTGACAGAGATCACAAGTAGGCAGAGAGGCAGGCAGAGAGAGAGGAAGGGAAGCAGGCTCCCTGCTGAGCAGAGAGCCCGATGTGGGGCAGCATCCCAGGACCCTGGGATCATGACCCGAGCTGAAGGCAGAGGCTTTAACCCACTGAGCCACCCAGGCACCCCGATTCTTAACTTTCTTATGTCTGATTTACTCTTAATATTTTCTATTCTGTATTCTGTTTTATTTAAAAAAATGTTGATTTGACCCACTAATTGATTTTACCACCTGTTAAATGAATCCTGGCCTGTAGTTTGGAAAATAACATTTTATTGGATAGTTCTGTCCAATGGAAGTAGAAATTAGTATTTTTTTCATTTTGTCTTTTTGCATAGGTCTCCTAGTTCTAGATATATATTTTTTTTAAATCACTTTTGAAGATTTAGAAGACTGAAAATTTTGGTTGTGAATATGTATAAATACACACATGTTGGACCAGAAAAATTTTTTTAAAAGTTGAATTAGATTAGGTGGTTCCACCATCTGAATAGGCAGCTTCTTTGTTCCTGAAGCATTCTTTTATATTTTTTTCTTTTGTACAGATACGTCGTCATGAAATACACAAATCAAAGAACAGAGCATTAGTACACTGGGAACTCCAAGAAAAAGCTTTGAAGAGAAAATGGAAGAAGCAGAAACCAGAAATTTCTAATCTTGAGAGAAGGAGATTGTCTATAATGAAGGAGGTAATGCTAAACTGCATTATCTTTAGAGTTAGAGAAGAAAATGATAAATAGGTTTCTCTCTTTCCTCCCAAATTTGATTCACATTGGAAGGACTTCAGTAAATGACTGTGTCCTTATGTAATGATTTACACATGGACTCTGGAAAGAGCAGTGGAGTAATGATTAGCGTCTAGTTCGGAGGTTTGAATTCCTGCATGGAAAGTTACTGTTTATGTGACTTGCCTGATTGTACTGTTATGAGATTTCAGTGGTATATACTAACAAACTGACTAGTACATTCTTCGGCACATAATTAGTTCCTTATATACATATATAAACTGCTATAATTATTTTTCTCAGTTCACACACAGTGCTATTAGATTAATTACTTTGCAAAAAAAAAAATGTGTGCTTGTCCAACAAGTTAGTTAGTAAGCCACTTGTCCTTGGCTAAATCTTTTGCAAGATGTAAGGTATTTGGATAAGTAATCAGATGTGTAGGAATAAATAATATGGCAAATAAGAGGAAGCTACAGCAAAAAAACCTTTGATTTGGGATGAAGTCATTGAAAAAGAAATATACCTTGTAGTGGCGCTTCTTGTTCATTGTTGAAGCTTATGGCACTTGGCTGTTCTGGGTGACCTTTCACTGCAGCTTTAAGTTGCTCTGTCTTTTGAAGAATTCATTAGGCTTGTTAGTGAAAGGTAAAGGTTTCAGTCTTAATGTATTGTCAGGAAGACTTCCGTCTCCCAAATAAATGTTTACATGGACTTGTAAAAACAGTAGATTGAGAGAATATGGTTCTTTACAGATAAGTATCCATTGATAATCTTGGACAAAGTATGTGGATTTGAATATTATGTAGGTTCTCAGTGACCAGGAGAAAAGGCAGCCCTTTTGAGGTGACTCTGGGCTTTTGTGTCCCATCTCTAGTGGCTCCTGCTCTTGTCCTGAACTGCTCATGTCCTGAAGGAATAGATATGGTAGAAGGAGGGACTGAAGGAAGAGTGGTGGGAGAGGATGAGTGAAGTCTCTCATATGTCCCTCTAGTCTCATGCCTCAGGCCCTGGTGTCATGGTTCTCAACGCTGACTGCACATTAGATCAGTCAGTGTTGAGATCTTCCATTAAAAAAATCATAGTATCTAGGGGCACTTGGGTGGCTCAGTGGTTTAAGCCTCTGCCTTCAGCTCAGGTCATGATCTCAGGGTCCTGGGATCGAGCCCCATATCTGGCTCTCTGCTCAGCAGGGAGCCTGCTTCCCTTTCTCTCTCTCTGCCTGCTTCTCTGCCTACTTGTGATCTCTCTCTCTGAAATAAATAAATAAAATCTTAAAAAAAATAAATTAAAAAATCATAGTATCTGGACTCAGATATATCCGTGTTCAGCTAATCTGATTTAGTGGACCTGTAATGTGGCCCTACTTAGGTATTTTTTTAGACAGTTGTTATGTAATTTTAATTCATTGCCAGGGTTGAGAACCTCTGCAGTTAGTGAGATCAAGTATTTCCATTTAACAGTATATTTTGGAGGTTATCCCATGTCAGTATTTAGAAATATCCCTTTTCTTTTTAATGGCCAGGTAATATATAGATGTACCAAAATTTATTTATCCAGTACTTTATTTGTGAAAACTTAGAAAGTGTATTGGACTATAGTTTATTTATTTTTTTAAAGATTATTTATTTATTTATTTGACAGACAGAGATCACAAATAGGCAGAGAGGCAGGCAGAGAGAGGAAGGGAAGCAGGCTCCCTGCTGAGCAGAGAGCCTGATGCGGGGCTCGATACCAGACCCTGGGATCATGATCTGAGCCGACACTGGGATCATGACCTGAGCCGAAGGCAGAGGCTTTAACCCACTGAGCCACCCAGGCGCCCCATGGACTATAGTTTAGACCTCTGGTTAAGAAGATACAGTGGTTTAAACAAAATAGAAATCTGTTTCTATGAAACAGTTCAGAAGTAACTGGTAGTTGGTAGGGTCTCTGTGGTCCTTTATTCCAGGGCTTCCATCACTGAGTAGAGAATGGCTGTTCCAGCTGCCTTTAGCTGTATTCCAGCCAGCATGAAAAGGGAAAGAGAATGCATGCTACTCCTTTAAATTCACCCAGAAATTCTGGCTTATATCCCACTATCCAGAAATTCATCATATGACCATTCTCACTTAGAATGATGGTTAGGAGATCTTGGTGTATAATTGGCTAAAACTTGGGAATTCTGTTAAAAGGAAAATGAAAAGACAGGAAATTGGTGGGTAAGTAGCAGGTCTGTCACCCACAGATTGTTATCTCATTTGTCACTGGAAATAATACATTGAATACCCTTGAATGTGCTTTTAAGTACATGTAAAACTGTATTTGTAGAACAAATTTTTTTAAAGATTTTATTTATTTATTTGTTTGAGAGAGAGGGAGAGCACAGAGGGAGAGTGAGAAGGAGAAGCATACTTCCCGCTGAGCAGAGAGCCCGATATAGGACTTGACCCCAGGACCCTGAGATCATGACCTGAGCAGAAGACAGCTGTTTAACCAGTTGAGCCACCTAGACACCCATGTAGGATAAATTCTTAAGAGTGGAACTGCTGAGTCAAAGATATGAGCATCTATTATTTCAATGTTGCTAAATTTGTAGTGTCTCTGTTAAGGGATGTGATGGGACCAAATGAAGAAGCTTCCTTGGGCATATTCACTTAGGCAGTATCAACATGTATTAGAGCTACCAGTCCATCCCCCAGAACTGGACTCCTACGTAGATTGACAAAGTTAAGAGAAAAGCTCTTTGGCTAGCATAATCATTCGCTGTATGATGCACTCATGCCTTGGGAATCAAGCAAATGAGGGTCCAAATTCGATCAGAGAGAGGGAAACTTCGATAAAGATTTTATGAATTTTAAAAGTCTAATAACTTCCCAGGTCTCTCTGTAATTTGCTATTTCTGTCTGGTTTTTATTATCAGAGAACAAAAGTGCTAGAATTAAAAGTTTTTGTTAGTGTTTTTGAAGGGATCTTGGCTGATCTTTTGTGAATCCAAGATGTGTACCACTACTCATAAGTTTGACTTTGTGCTCTATGAACCCATCTGGGAAGTAATGTATACAGATGGGCTTGCAGAGATTGGTTTACTTATCAAGAGGATGGGTTTTTTTTTTTTTTAGTAAAGATTTTTATTTATTTATTTGACAGAGAGAGAGTGCACAAGTAGGCAGAGAGGCAGGCAGAGAGAGAGGGGAAGCAGGCTCTCTGCTGCACAGAGAGCCCAATGCGGGGCTCGATCCTGAGACTCTGAGACCATGACCTGAGCCGAAGGCAGAGGCTTGACCCACTGAGCCACCCAGGCACCCCAAGAGGATGGGTTTTATCAGAGAGGAGTGATGAATAAATCTAGAGAGAGCAAAAGAAAGCCAGTACCCTGATCTCTGGCCTCTCAACCCATCTGCCCCAAGAAGGCTGGGCAGAGACTGGCAAAGTGCAACAGTGTAATGTCTTTCCTAGAGACCTCATTATAATTGATAATCAGGTCTTGGTATGATAAAATTATTCCTCTACTATCTGCTTTTTTCAGTTATATCTCTTTATTTTCATGGAAGGTCAGTAATTTTTTTTTTAATAGTAAACTCAAAACTGCAATTAGGAAATATTCTGTGTGTAATTTTTCTAGTTTAAGTGATAGATTATAATGCTCCATTTACTCTCTTGCCTAAGCTCTAATTGGGTGTACTTGCAAGATCGCTAACCAGGGATAGAAATTTGGTTCATGGGATAATATAATTTAAGTTGTAGCAACATTCCAAATATCTCTAGAATGGTACAGGTGTTCAGTGTGTCCACATTCTTACAACAGCCCTTTGGGGTAGGGGAAGGTGGCGATATCTTCATTTACATCTTAGGAACCTAAGCTTAAAGAGGGTTGGATTTTGCTTAGTATCCCTTGGCTGGATCCTAGTCTTCTGGCTCTGAATGTGCTCTTTGCCTTATATCATTCCAAAACTTACTCTGTGGAAGGAACAAATTAAGGACTTGAGTCTCACCAACTGAGCCATCCAATCTGATTGGCCACAGCAGGAGAAGAAAGGGAAAAAGTCGGAATGTGACTCTTGTTATTTCTCTCAATGTCTTAAAACAATAACTGAAATCATATTATATACTTGTTTCCATGGGCTAGAGAGATTCTGGTAAGAGCATTTGTTGCCAGAAGCTCCGCTTTATTGTTTTGAATTAGTGTTGGAAACCAGGCAGTTTCGTTTTATGACTCCTCTCAGTTTAAGAATGCCATCTGGTGGTGGTGGGTAGAGTTGACTTGCCTGTACCTCTTGTTTATAATTAAGAAAGTTCCTGAGTTGAAAGTGCCTAATCAGAGGCGCTACTGTAATGGTATTTTTTGAGTTCTCATCCCTCCAGGATAAAAGTCCACCTTGTTTGTAAATACAGAACTGTCACTTTTTTGTTTGATGCCCAAAACTCATATCTTACCTCATAGTCTCTTAAGTTGTTGATCATGATCCATTAGTGGATTATGAAATCACTTTAAAGGTGATGAATATATGAATATATGGCTGAATATATGGCTCAGAGTTTTATATCTTTAATCAGTGTTTTTCAAACTGTGGATCACAACTTGTTAGTGGATTGCTAAATTTAGTGTGTTGTAGCTATTATTTTAAAAAATAGAAACTAAAAGAAAATATCAGAATGGTTCTCAAAAAGTAAGGTTAAGTAAGACTTTTATTTTGTTATACATTTACATTTGCGTGTATATTAGGTCACAGTTTAATAATGTATTTCTTACTTGGATTGTAGCCAAGCATCTGAAATCTAATTATTGTAATAGCGCCATCTCCTGGTACTTTTGGATATTGCCACTGAAGGATTTTGGGAGGATGGTGGCTTAGGTTGTTTTTATTCTCTGAACCTTTGCATGGACTTTTCCTTTGTGATTTCATAGTATATAGAGATTTTTTTCTGAATAATAATATTTATCATTAACACATGTCTAGATTCTTTCTGATCAATACCAGATGCAGGAGGTATTAGAAAAATCTGATCATTTGATGGCTGAAGCAAAAGATCTGTTTGTTGATTTTCCCCGTAGGCGCACAGGTAATGTATTTCGTTCAAACAAAAGCTTCTTTTTCTTATTAATCATAGCCTACAATGGCTGTTTGGAAGAACTTGAAAACCTTTTTTCGGGCATCACATTATTTATAGTACAAGTAGTCTAGAGTGGATAGCATACAGGAGTTGTTAGGCATAGATTCAGTATAATTTGTTTGCTTTTCACTAAGAATATTAACTATTACAAATTATGGAGCTAAATAGAGGTAAGTCATTATTTACTAGTATATCTCATGGTGCAATATACGAGATTTTATTATAAATATGACTTAGTTTCCAATTTATTAATGTTAGGTTACTGTACAAAGTGTCTGTTTTTGTATGTAACTTGAGTAAAGCTAAATTTTGAAGCCTAAAGCTACTTCAGTCTCTCTCTGACAGAGACTTTGCCTTTTGTCAGATACATAGCATTATTCACTTTAATGTGTATATAATCCATTGTTTACTTTAATCCCTAAAAACAAATCATTAGTTTTTAGTTTAAGGTTTGAATCCTGGCTTAACAATTTATTATTGTGACTTTGGGCCATTTGCCTCATGTCTCTGAGTTTCAATTTGCTGATCTATAAAATAATAATAGTAAAAACCTCATCAGATTTTGTGAGGGTAAAGTGATTTAATATATGTAAAAGCATTTAGAAAAGTGCCTGGCATATAGTAAGTATTGTGTAAGTGTGAGCTGCTATTATTATCATTTAAGATTTTAATTTGATAATACAAACCTGTGGCAGTGTATAGTGTTTGTAAAGTCAGTTTAATTAAATGAAGTAAAATAATCATGACTTCTTTTCCTTCTGCAGGGTTTCCAAATGTAACTATGGCTCCTGATTCCTCTCAGGGTCCTATTGTGGTAAATCAAGACCCTGACACGCAGGCCATTCTTAGTGAATCCATCATGGAGCCTCAGGTAATATGCTGTCCTTACAGCCATCATGCTTATGTTGAAATTAAATTTATGTAGGCATTGTGGTAAACTTTTCAAAAGCTTAAAATATCAACAAATACCAAGTATGGTTGCTAGAATTGTTCTTCCTCAAGCGTATTACACTTTGGGTGAGTTATATTTGTACCAAACAAGACAGGACTGGATAATAATAGCTAACCATTTATTGAGTACTTACTTATGATGTAGGTACTATCATTACCTCCAGTTAGCAGGTGAAAGAACTGAGCTTCAGAAAAATTAAGTGCCTTGTCCAAGATCACTTAGCATCAGAGATGGCATTCACTCCATCTGCCATTATAGAAACAGTGGGGAGTCTCTTAACTTCCATTTTAGAGTCAGGTGGATCTGTGTTTACATTCTGTTAGTACTAGCTGTTGGATCTTGGGTTGATTTCTTAAGGTATCTGAGTTGACTCAGAGTATTTTTGGTTTTGTTGTTGTTGTTGTTATTGTTAAATGGGAGTAGAATATACTTACTATGGTTGTTGTGAGGATCAGCTGAGGTAAGTTATGTCTATCATGATTCCAGATACTAGTTCTTCATTAAATGTTAATAGTCTCTTTTAATAGGTGTGTTTAGAAAGTAGCTACCCAGGAAACTTGGAATTTATTGACCAGTTACATGGGAAAATTATATTATAGTAGTAAAATGTTAATTAAAATGTATCCCAACCTAACTGAAACTCTTAATTAATCAAAATGCTTAGAATTTTGAAATGGGAAGCATTTTTTAAAGCTCACGAAGAATTTAATATTAAAATAAAACAACTTTTTAGGACTGATGAGGACTCAATACCTGTTTAGTGCAATTTCCTAGGTTATTTATATGTCCTATGAAAAAAGGAGAATCATCAGTTGGAGGGACGATCCTAGGGAATTACAAGGTCCAGAATCATTAAAAAAAACAAAAAACAAAAACCAACTTAAGTCTACTGTTTTCTGCTTACAAAGGCAATTAAGTAGAATGTTACATGTTTTAAATAGCCAAAAGCCATTATGTTTTGGCACTTACTAAAAATGTTAGCTTTCAGGGGAATCCTCCTACATTACTATGTAACTTGAGTAAAGCTAAATTGGTGCAAGCTGGTGCAGCCATGTTGGAAAGTAGTATGGAGATTCCTCAAAAAGTTGAAAATAGAGCTACCCTATGACCCAGCAATAGCACTACTGGGTATTTACCCCAAAGATACGAATGTAGTGATCTGAAGGGGCATGTGCACCCCAATGTTTATAGTAGGTCTTTTCTCAATCTGAAGGGGCGTGTACACCCCAGTGTTTATAGCTCAATACCCAAACTATGGAAAGTGCCTAGATGTTCATCAACAGATCAATGGATAAAGAAGATGTGGTATGGCATGGAATGGAATGGAGTGGAATATTATGGGATATTATGCAGCCATCAAAAAACCTGAAAGCTTGCCATTTACAATGACCTGGATGGAACTAGAGAGTATTATGCTAAGCGAGATTAAGTCAATCAGAGAGGTACAATTATCATATGACCTCACTGATTTGAGGAATTTGAGAAATAAAACAGAGGATCATAGAGAAAGGAAGGGAAAAATGAAACAAAACAAAATCAGCGAGGAGGACAAACCTTAAGAGACTCTTGGTCTCAGGAGACAAACTGAGGGTTGCTGGAGTGGAGAGGGGTGGGAGAGATGAGGTGGCTGGGTGATAGATATTCGGGAGGGTATGTGCTATGGTGAGTGCTGTGAATTGTGTAAGACTGAAGAATCACAGACCTGTACCCCTGAAACAAATAATATATGTTAATAAAAAAAATGTTAGCTTTCAGATAATTATGGTCTCTGTTATGGGGAAGGGAAAATGGCAAGAGCTGGGGCTAGAGAGATAGGGAGGAGCTAGGTAATGAAGGGCTAAAGAACCAGAAAGTAAGAGGAGAGCCACCAAAGAATTTTAGGAAGAATAGAGTCATGATGAAATCAATTGTAGAGTGGAAGAAGGGTTTGGGAAGGACAAGACTGGTGAGAGGATCTGGTTAGAAGACTTAGGTTAGAATTTTAGTGAGAAGTGGTGAGGGCCTAACCTAAGCAATAGCAGTAAAAGAAGGAGGTAGAAGGGAAGAGAGATGGGTTTGAGAGATTAAAAAAGGATAGAATTGACAGCATTTGGTAGCTGATTGGATGTGACGGATGAGAAAAAAGGATAACTCCCAGTTTGTTGGTTTGAGCATCTCAGTAGATGGCGATACTCTTATGGTCTTAGGTAATATCAGGAATAAGGCTTCTGGAAGAATGGTAGGAGAGGCTTAGGAAGATGACTAGTTTTGGACATGTTACGTTTATGTGTGTAGGGTGTCTACTAGGAATATCTTAGGCAGTTGAATATAATTGTCTAGGAATCCTGAGAAATCTGGGCGAAGATAGAAATTCGAGAATTCACAGCATTTGACTTGTAATGGCAGCTTTGGAACTAGATACAATCTTTCAGAAAGGGAGTCAAATGAGAAGATAAAAGGTCCAAAGGGAGGACCTTGAGTATTAAGAAAGGGCAGAAAGAAAAGAATCAATGAAGGAGATGGGAAGGAAGAGCCAAAAGAATAGAATAAAAACCAGGGAAATATGGTATCTTGGGAGTTAAAAGGAAGAATGTATCAAGAAGATCTTGAAAGAAAGAAAGGAATAGTCATTAATGTCCAATCAATTAGAGAAGAAAGGGAAGGCAGAGGCTGAAAAATATCTATTTGATTTAGGAACAATAAAAAAAAGATGCTGACCTTGTAGACAGCAGTTTGAGTGGAATGGTAGGGCAGAAGCAAGGTTGTAGGGCATAGGTGGTAAATGAGAAGCGGTGCGGGGGGTGGGGGTGGGGGGTGGGTAAGATTCTTTCAAGTTTGGTGGTGAAAGAGAAAAGATACGGTGAGAGAGACTTGTTCACATTTAAATGCGGATGAGCTAAAGCCAGTGCAGAGAGGTTGAAGATGCAGGAGAGGAATGGGGCACTTGATGGAGTGGAAGGAGGTGAGAGGGTTTAGGTCCTAGAGCACTTGTGGAGATGTTAGCAGTAGAAGGAGGGACCTCTCTATTGTAATGACACAAAGAAACAAAGGATGAGTGTACATATAACCAACTTGTATTTGTATTTTTATTGTTATGTTGAGAAAGGCTCTTAACGAAGTAGATGATGAAGGAGAAGGAACTGTTAACAGCCAGTCTGAAGAAAGTGGGAATGAGTTGGATAACTCTATAAACTCTCAGTCAAAAACTAACGTAGATCGGTAGGTATATATGGATAAATATTTACAGGGCTTCCCTTTTCTCCAAGGCTATTTCCTTTGTTTCCCAGCTTTATTGAGATATTATTAACATAATATTGTGTAAGTTTAAGGTGTACAATGTATTTATAATATTTCTACTTGTGGAACTTAATGATGTTTTCTTTGTGGCCTAATATATGATTAAATTTTTGTAAATGTTCCATTTATGTGCTTGAGAAGAAGGTATATTCTATATTACCAGGGTATAAAGGTCTATCTGTATATCCTTAAGATCTGCTTCATTGATGATGTTGTTTACTTCTTCTGTCTTTACTTACTTTTGTCACTATCTTATATTGAGAGTAGTGTATTAAAGTCTCTGTTAGTGTGTTTCTATTTTTCTTTGCATATGATGTTTAAGTATATTTAATTTTGTTTAAAGTTAAATACCTGATTGGTGTGTTTTTTGGTACATGGATATTCATAAGTATTGTATTTTCATTATGATTTATGGCTTTTAGCATTGTAAAGTGTCATTTGTCATATTTAATGTCTTTTGGCTTCAGTTCTATTTTTTTTGGTATCAGGAATGAAACCTCTGCCTTCTTGTTTCTGATTGCCTGGTTCATCTTTGCTCATTCTTTTATTTTAGCTTTTCTGAATTATTGTGTACTAGGTGTATCTTTTGTATTTAACATAGAGTTGGGTCTTGCATTTTAGCCAGTTTAAAAGTCTTTTTTTTTTTTTAAATTGGTGAAGTAAGCTTGTAATATTTATTGATATAGTAGATGTGTTCGATGTCAACTTATTTTATAGTACTATGTATATTATACTATAATTATAGTTTTCTTTCTCTATGTAATGTTTTTTGTGTTCTCTTAAAAATTTCTTTTGATATTTAGGAAGTTTGTAATTTTGTTCTGGCTGGTTGTCTTTATATCTACCTTTTATAGAGCCCTTTAGTCCCCTATTTTCTTCAATCTTTTGCTCTCAGGTGTGTTAGTTTTAAATGGTGTGCTTTGACTTCCACCTATGACCTATGCAACAAATAATTTATTCTATATTCTCATTCTTTCTCTTTTTCTCTCAGTCTTTCTCCTCTTTTAGCTGCATTTTTTTTTTTTTTTTGCTTTGACAGGACATAAAACATTTACATATTATTCTTCTCTATTATTGCCATTTTTGTTTTAGTCTTGGATCTATAGTTAAATGTATTAAATGCTCATCATCAGTCCTTTTATGATGTTTTCCTAGTTAACTTTTGGTTGGATCACTCATTTAGACAAAGCTCATGGTATAGGATTTATGAGTTCTATTTTCTGAATTCTTGAAAGCTTAAACGTTTTCCTGTAGCTTTGATATTTGAAAGATATCTTGGCTGGATATAAAATCTTTAATATTTTGTTTCCTTAATTTCCTTGAAAGTGTTCCTCTATTCTTGGCTTACTTTGAATGTTGTTTTGACTGGTCTGATGCTAGAACAATTTTCTTGCCCTTATAAATAATTAGGCATTTTTATGTATTGATGTCCTTTATATTTAAAATTTATTCTTTTATCTTTAAAATTTAAATATTGCTAAGCTCTGTTTTGAGTTTACCTTTTCAGGTCAGTTTTTCCAACACAGTTTGCTTTTTTGTAGATTCGGTTCTTTTTCTTTCTTTTTTTCTTTTTTTTTTCCTGGAAGTAAGTTTCCTTGGGTTATAGTTTTAGATATTAGTTTGATATCATTGGTTTTTTTCTTTTTTTTTTTCAGAGACTCCTTTTACATACATAAAAGTGATATCTCTTGTTTCTATTTCAAATACTTTCTCTCTAACCTTTTATTCTTTATTTTTTGTTGTTGTTTTCCTATAATCTTCAGTCTTCCTTATTAAATGTTTATTTAATGATTATCCATTGGACGCATTGTAATTTAATCTTCATTTTTGAGTTTTTCTTTTTCTTTATATTCTTTCCTGAGTTCAGTCAATTCTTATTTTGTTCCTGGTTTTTGTCCATCTCTGCTCTTAGTTTTAGAACTTCTGATTCAAGATCTATATCTCCAAATGCTTGTTTAAGTATACTGAATTCCATTTAAAGAGTTTTGTTACAGTTTTCTTCTGTTCTTGGTAGGGGAAAAATTTTTATTGGCTAGAATATTTCAATTACATTTTCTATTATATTGTCTTGTATGATGCAGACTGTTTTAGTTTGTACATTTTATGGACAGGGTTGGGAGTTTGGGGTAGGTCTTCTCTCAGTTATAGTGAAGTACAGTTATTTTAATGGATGCTTTTTCTTTTTTTTAAAGTATCAGCAGGTGAAAGTTGGTTTGTACTCCAATACTGTTCTTTTTTGTCTTGAACTGTTCTCCCTTGTTAAACATGTTAAGGTAATACACTTTTTTTTTATTTTTCTTTTTGCCTTTAGCGCTCAGCCTCCTAAGAACTCTTCTTTCTTCCTGTTGACATCAAGAAGTGGTGTCTTTCCAAGACCTACCACCTTGAGTTCTATGCACTTTTTAGTAGTATTTTGACTGCCCAGGTTTGGGATATGCGTGTGTGTGTGTGTGTGTGTGTGTGTGTGTGAGTGACCTTCCTTTCTGAGTATTTGCTATTTAGAGTGGACTTCTTCTTTCTGGAGGTGATTTTGTCACCAGTAGACTCTTTGCTTTCTTCGTGGTTTGGTCATTTTCTTTTTCTTTTCCTTTTTTTTTTTTTTTTTTTAATTACCTGTTTGGTCATTTTCAGCTGCCCTCACTCCCTGCTAGGGCTTCTGACAGGAGCTCAGGAAATATCTTTGCTGGAGTGTAGTGTGTATTTTTCTACTTATAGGTAATTTGAAGTTAGTAGTAGTATCTGTTTTCCAGTCATGTAGAAGGTATGGGTTATGAGCTATTTTTGCTCCTCTTGTTGCCCTGTCTCTTGGGTTTTGGAGGATGTGTGGAGTGATTCAAATTTAGCTGGTTGCTGTTTCCTTAAGGTCACTTGGAAACATGTATCATCTTTTAAGATAAGCTTCTTTCAGAACCCAAATATAACTAATCTTGTGCAATATTGCTTTTATTCTTTACATTTGAATCAAGTTACTGTTTTTTATTTGGTTGGGTTTTATCTCATTAGTTGTGTGAGTTGTGTGAGTCTGGGTTTTATCTCAGTAGTTGTGTTGTGTGGTTTCCAGTTTGGAATACCTAATGTCTCAAAATGTTACTTGTTAACTATTAAACATGAGGTATCAGGAGATGATTAGACTTGGATCTGGAGACTAAGTGCCTTTTGGTTTGAAAATTTCTATGAATACATGTTCCTGTGTGACCTAAAACAACAGAAATTTATTCTCTCACAATTTTGGAGAAATCTGAAATCGGTTTCATTGGACCAAAATCAAGGTTTTGGGAGGGCTACACTTCCTCCAAAGGTTCTAGAGGAGAATCTGTTCTTTGCCTTCTTTGCCCCTTCCAGGTTTTGATGGCTGTTGGTCTTCCTTGGCTTGTGACAGCTGCATCATTCCAATTTCTGCCTCTGAGTTCACATCACCTTTCCCTCTGTGTGTGTGTTCAACTCTTCCTTTGCCTCTCTTTTATAAAAATATACATGATACCATTTAGAGCCCCCCCCAGAATAACCTCACATCCCAAGATTCTTAACTTAATCATATCAGCCTGTTTGCTGACTGTAGAATTTTGGGAGTCTGACTCTTCCTTCATTTTATCCTATCTCTGTCTCTTTCAGTCCAAGCTGCAGTATTTCTGCTGGTGTAACATTCTCAAATGACCTTGTGTGTTTCCTTTGTATGTTGGATGACATTAGACAAAGAGGCCCTCCAGAGATCTTCCCTGGATAATTCCATCTATGTTGCTATCTGCTGAGATCATTAAGGGGATCTATGAGTCAGATGCCTAATCTCTTCAGATTAGCAAAACATTGTCTAGCCATACACTTGTCCTTTCCAGGGCGTGCTTTCCTAACAGTGTGGTATCTCCTAATTTGAGCATCTTTTGCGTTCTGGGCAGGCTGAAAATTTCCCAAATCACCAAGTTCTGGTTCCTTTTGGCTTAACAGTTCTTCCTGCAGTGTATCTCTTTCCTCCTACATTTCACTCTAAGCAGCAGTAAGAAAGTAGGCTGTACCTTTAACACTTTGGCTGGAAATCTCCACAGCTAAGTATCCAAGTTCATTGTTTACAAGTTCTGCTTTCCACACAACTCGGTTATGTTTTCTGGTACTTTATAATAAGGATTGCCTTTCTTCCAGTTTCCAATCACATGTTCCTCATTTCCTTGTGAGCCTTCACCAGAAGCTCCCTTAATGCTCATATTGCTACCAGTATTCCATTCATGATGATAGAGCCTTTCTCTGCCATTCTCCTCACTTCCTCCTGGGTCCACAGTGGAAGGGTCTGTAACTTCCATATTTCTATGAATAGCCTGTGTAAGGCAACCTAGGATTTTTCTAATATTTACCTAAAAATTCTTCCAGCCTCACCCATTCTCATTTCAGAGCTTTTTTTGGTAAGCATTTTTTGATATTTTGTTACACTAGCACCTCGTATCCAGGTGCCAGAGTCTACATTAGTTTTCTATGGCTGCTATAACAAATTACCATAAACTTAATGACTTAAAACAACAGAAATTTATTCTCTCACAGTGCTGGAGGCCAGAAATCTGAAATCAGTTTCACTAGGCTGAAATCAAGGTGTTGGAGGGCCATTCACATTCCCTCTGGGTACTGTAGGGGGAAATCCATTCCTTGTCTCTTCCAACTTTTTGTGGCTGCCGGCCTTCCTTGGCCTTGAGTCAGTATAATTCCCGTCTCTGCCTCCATCATCACAGCACCCTCTATGTCTGTGTGTGTCAGAGTCTCCTTGTGTCTCTTCCTCTTATAAGGATGCACTTGATTGCATTTAGGGCCCATCCAGATAATCCAAGGTCATCTATCTCAACATCCTTCTTAACTTAATCACATCCGCAAAGTCCCTTTTTAGTCAGATAAGGTAACATTCACAGATTCTAGGGATTCAATTATAAGTATCTTTAGGGAGGCCATTCTTAAACTTGTCATAGGTAGTATTATATTACTTTCCTTGTTGTTGTCACATAACCTGACTCTTAAAAAAGTATAAACATTAGAGACAGTAATGTGAGTTCAGACTGTTTTGGATTTTCCTAACTTATACAGAAATCTTGTTACAACACTTTTCTTAGGATTTAGCTGGAAGGTTGGACTTTGAACTAACACTTACAAAGGAGTCTTTCTGATGCTTTGATAACTAGCCCCCTTTGAATGGATTGCATTATAGGCCTTTTGCTAAATATATTTTGTAGCAGCAGCTAATGTGCAATGTACTATCCATAATTTGCATGAAAGCAACTCCCTTAGGTTGAGATTTGTGGAGCCACTAAATAAGATTTCCACATTCCTCTTTTTTTTTTTTTTTTGGTAACAGCTTTATTGATTTATAGTCCACATACCATACAGTCCATCCACTTAAGGTATAACATTCAATGATTTCTAGTATATGCAGAGTTATGCAATCTATAGTCAATTTTAGAACATTTTCAGTACCCAGAAGAAACCCCGTATTCTTTAATAGTCAAATCCCATTCCCTCCCAAGCCTTTCAGCCCTATCTAATCTATTGGATTAGTCTATTCTCTATCTCTGTAGATTTGCCTATTCTGGACATTTCATATGTGTAGAATCATTCCCTATGTGGTCTTTTGTGTCAGGTGTCTTTCACTTGGCATGTTCTCAAGATTCATCCATGTTGTAGCATGTATCTCCACTTCATTCCTTTTTATGGTTGTGTGGGTGTAGTACATTTTAATTCTCCACCCATCAGTTGATGGGCATCTGGGTTGTTCCTGCTTTTTTGTCACCTACCCCTTTTAAGTCTCAGTCCAACTGGGAAATAGATAAAGGAATCAGATGGTTGGAGAATAAAGTATAAGCCTTACCAATGCTAACGATGATTTTGGAAAAGGCTTAGTTCTCTAACTCCCTATACTACAGCTCTTCTTCCCACTCCTTCTCCCTGCTCCCAGGGACTCAGGGCAGAGTCTGCTTTAGTCATTTTACTTCAGTGATGAGCATAGACTGTGTTCTGAGGACAGCCTCCTTCACAGAGAGAAACCGGAAAGGACCAAGCCACGTACTTTCTCTGGGAGAAAGAGAGGAGAATGCGGCCCATACCACAAAAATTCAGAAAGGACAGATTTTTCCTCCGAGGAGGAGCCAAGGTGGGTGGGAAACTGGGAGGAAGATGGAATGATTCCTTCTAACACTAAGAAGACTGGCATTTTAGGTACCTGTCTTACCAGTTAAAGCAAAATGTATTTTTTTCTTTGATTTTGAATTATTAAAAGTGCTATCAATCAAACATTTAAGCAGTTGAGCAGTTTAAATGATAGCATTTATTAATTCTGATATAGCTTGTTGCCTCATATTTTATAGGTTTCTCCACCAACTGAAGGAAGATAATTCTGAGTTAATTAATAAACTGTGGACTGATATTCAGCAGAAAATAACAACACAGTCCCAAAACCCTCCAGGAACTCCATCACCTGCCCCTCCATCAGGAGAACAAAAAGGTTTGTTCCCCCATTGTATTATTTCTCACAGAACAGTAACTTGTTTTATTATGTTCTTCCTTAAACATAGTAATGTTTAAAGGAATATTATTTGGGTTTTGACTGACTTTACCTAATTGAATGAAATACTGATTGATCTGTTAATTGGAATGCTTAAAACTTTTTTTTCCTGTTCACTTGAGATTCTTTTGGAAATATTTTTTTCTTTAGCTGCTCTGAATGCTACCAGCGCTGTCAAGAGAATCCAGACCAGGCTTCAATCTGAAGAATCTACTGAGACTCTAGACTCAAGCTATGTTGTGGGACAAGTGCTGAACTCAAGGAAGCAAAAACAGTTGTTAAAGAAAGGTTCAATCCCTCAATTTACAAAGATGAATTGTTAAACGCATAACTTGATACAGCTTCCTTTATCTCTTAGTAAAGGTTTTTCCCTTAAACCCATCCAGTTGGAGCCAGCTGATTAGACTTTTCTGAATGGTAGCTAAGAAATGCCTCCAAGTATAACAATGTAACTCTGTAGAAAGGTGGTTCTAGTACATTCATTATAGATAGTGTAAACCTGATTTAGACTGCATTTTTCATGAGAAATGGTGATAACTTCTACAAAAACCTTTTGTAACCTGTGAATAACAGTCAGTGGTTTTTCTAGTAGCTTGCTGGTATAGCTTTTCCTGGTCTTCTAATAGGGTGACTTCTGTCATTATCAGTGAAAGGAAAACTGGATTCCAGTGCTCCTTCCAAGCAGAAGAAGAATGTGTTAACAGCTAGCACAGCCTCCACAGACTTACCAAACAGCAATAATTCCAGCCTAGATGTCCTCAAACACATGATCAATGAAGTGGAACATGAAATGGAAGAATACGAACGGTGGACGGGACGCGAGGTCAAAGGACTGCAGAGTAGTCAGGGGCTTACAGGCTTTACTCTGTCACTAGTGGGTTCCCTCTGTCGCCTGGTTCGGTACCTTAAAGAGGTAAGAACAAGAGGTTATTCTCCTCTACAGAGTGCTGGTAGAAACATTTGGGTTTTTTTTCCTCTACATTTAATTTATTACAATTTCCAAATGAAGAGTAGTAAAATTTGAATAGCTTTGTTTAAAATATCTCAGTTTTAGATTATCTGCAGTAAGGTTTTATCCTCTTAATTTCCCTCTACATGCCAATTTATGTATCCTATAGTATAAGTGATGTTGATTTTAATACAAGCTGTAGTAAATTGTAATTAGTAAGGTAAATCTATAAATAAAATCATGTCTTATGCTGACATTGAATATATTGTTTGGCAGTATTAAATTCAGTAGAACTACTAAATGTGTCCTTGTTCTATTGCTTTTCTCTGTGTTCCTACTCCTACTTTAGTTTGGAGAATGGCATGCCTGTAATCTGTAGATACAGATGAGGAAAATTCTTCACGTTATCTGTGTGACTACTTGGGCTTTGTCTGAAGTAGATCTTTTGTTGTTCTGAAAATAATTTATAAGAGAAGCAAGAATTATTTCTGTAATTAATTTTTGAATAACCAGTCTTCAGAATGCTGAGGAATTAGAGCTAGCTCTACATTTCATCTTTCAAAAAACCTATTTAAACTGTTATCTTATGTTTTATACACTTAAATTTGTTAAACAAATACAACAGAAAATGTTCAAGGACATTTTATTATTAAAATAGTTGGTTCATGGGGCACCTGGGTGGCTCAGTGGGTTAAAGCCTCTGCCTTCAGCTCAGGTCATGATCCCAGGGTCCTGGGATTGAGCCTCGAATCGAATCGGGCTCTCTGCACAGCGGGGAGCCTGCTTCCCTTCCTCTCTCTCTGCCTGCCTCTCTGCCTACTTGTGATCTCTCTGTCAAATAAATAAATAAAATTAAAAAAAAATAAACAAAAAAAATAGTTGGTTCATCACTCTAATTCTGATGTTTCAATTTCTCTGGAGCTGTCTTCCTAAAATTACTTTTTAGTGAAATATTTATTGTACTGTCAGACTTACGAAAGTCTTATCATTCTTCTATCCTTAAATTAGGGCCCTTCAGGAATGTACTTTTGGCTCTCTGAAAGCGTTGCAGGTTTAGTAGCTTCCACTTGTTAGCTAATCACTTGCTCTACAAAGTTAAAACCATTTAAGCCTGTTGTCATTTATTTTTTATTTGAACAAACTTAGTTGTTGAATTGGTGATCAGAATCACATGGCATGAAATTCCAAGAAACAGAAGGTTATAGATAAAAATTCTCATTCCCACCCTTAACTTCCATTTAACTAGTTTGCTTCCCTGTGGCCAGTAGTCATTGCCAGATACAGGTGTATCCTTCTAGAGATGCTCTGTGTATAATCAAGCAATATGTATATGTCCTTCCCTCCACTTTATTCGGCAAAAATTTGTACTTACTTAAGCCTTTATACCATTCTGTTTATTATGTTCTATATAAAGAAGGGAAAAGGACACAGCATTTCATTTTAATGCGATATAAACCTTTTAATAAAAATATGTCATTCTCATTACTGTCACATATACTTTGTATTATTTTCTTTGACAGTTTTGAATAGAAACTCTTAGTTTTCAGTATTTGATGCTTTTGATGGGAGTTTATTTTTGGATGGGAATTTTATCTTATTATTGATGGAAGTTTTTTTTTTTTTTTTTTTTTTTTTTTTGTAGAGCGAGGTCCAACTGCGTAAAGAAGTAGAGACAAGGCAGCACCTGGAACAAATGTTAGGTGATCATCGAGAGCTCATTGATGCTCTTACAGCTGAAATTCTTCTCCTTAGAGAAGAAAATACTGCTACCCAGGTACTTAGATGAGATCCCAACTTTTCTGCATTTAGTAAAATAAGGTATCTTTAAGAGTATGTAAGATTTTCTTTTAGTTGCCTTTGGTTTAGTTGTGTGGATGTGATTTCTTATCTCTTCTTTATTATCATCAACAGTAGCTTTTATGGAACATTTATTATATTGGAGGTACTGTAGTAGAAACTTGAAGTACAAATAACATACAGAAAAGTCTGCTGTCTTTAAAAAAACATACTAATATTGGGGAAGACAGAATCTACATTTAAATGGTAACTACCAATATTATAGCAGTTTATCCAAAATGTGAAATAAGTGTTGTGATAGCTACTTCTAATTTCAAAACAGCAGAGGATACAATTTAGGAAGCTTCCTGTAATCATATGCCATTTAAAGTTGTTTGCAGTATCTTCATATTTATTAGATAAGTCCTTTTTGTCACTTGTCTAGCTAATTGCTCCTTTTATTTATTTTTTTTAAAGACACAGTATTTCTTCTAGAAACCAATTAATACTGCCTCAATGGTGCATTAAACATTCTTAATTTGTGCTCTTTCTGTTCTCTCTGGGTATTGCTCTCACTGCATTTACCAAATTGTGTTACACATACATGTATACCTGTCATCAAGACTGAGCTGCTTGAGGGATGCCTGGGTGGCTCAGTCAATTAGGCATCTGCCTTTGGCTCAAGTCATGATCCGAGGGTCTTGGGATCAAGTCCGGCATTGGCCTCCTTGCCCAGCAGGAGGCCTGCTTCTCCCTCTGTCGCTCCCCCTGCTTGTGCTTGCGCTTTCTCTCTCTGACAAATGAATAAATAAAATCTTAATAAAAAAAAAAGACTGAGCTGCTTGAGCAGAGATGGTTTTATTCATCTCTTTGTTCTCCAGTGATGGTTGTTATTACTTTTATTTGTTAGCCAAAAGAGACTGGAAAAGCCGTAGTAGGCAAGTTGTGTTGTATCAATGGATATTAGATAGAAGACATGCAATTTTTTTATTGATCTATCCATTTCACATACCATTTAATTATCTTATAGAAGTGTACAATTCAGTGGTTTTTAGTATATTCACAGAGTTTTACACCAGCACCGTTATCTAATTCCAGGATGTTTTCCTCACCCCAAAGAGAAACCCCAAGCTTGTTAGCAGTCACTCTTTGTTCTCTCCTCCTTACAGCTCCTGGCAATTATAAATCCACTTTGTGTTTCTAAAGATATGCCAAATGTGGATATTTCATATAAATGGAATTATGCAATATGTAATCTTTTGTATCTGATCTCTTTCACTTAGCATAATGTTTTCAGGGCTTAACTATGTTGTAGCATGTGTCAGTACTTCATTCCTTTTTATTTTCCACTAATATTCCATTATAAGGATAGACCTCATTTTGGTTATCCATTCATCAGTTGATGGACATTTTTAGTTGTTTCTACCTTTTCGTGTACTATGAGTGAATAATGCTGCTATGAACATTCATGTACAAGTATTTGTGTGAATTTAGGTTATCAATTCTCTTGGGAAGGTGAGCAGTTTTAAAATGTACTAATTGAAAAAAAAATAAGTAAAATGTACTAGTTGGCTCAACAAATTGTATTGATTTGGGCCGGGCACTGTTACTGGTGCAGGAGATACAGTCATGAACACAGAAGCAATCTTTGGGTGAAGTTGTGAAAAGTGACCATATTATTAATCTATTTTGAAGGCAAACAGTAGGATTTTTCCGATGGGTTGGATTTGGATATGGGGTAAAGGAAAGGATGTGAGAGGAGTCAAGGGTGATTCCAAAGTTAGGGGCTGAGCATTTAGAAGGATGCAGTTGCTGTTGATAAGTTGGGAATGTTCAGGGGGAGTTTGGTTTTGTACATGTTAAGTTTGAGAAGCATATGTGAGTTCTAGATGGAGATGCTGAATAGGTCATTAGAGATGATTGTAGAATTTGGGAAAAATTTGAGCTGGTATGAAATTGTTTAGTGTACTTTATTCAGTAGTCCCACTAACAATTCTGACCATCTGTGATTTTTATAAAATGTCTATACATTTTGGATACATATACATATACATATATATGTGTATGTGTATAATACCTCTTATCTTGGTGTATATATTTTTTCTTAACCTTATTTTATATACATTACGTAACTTCTTACTGGGTCATGTTTATCAGTGTAAGTGCCTGTGTAATATTCTGTTAAATTAGCTTGAGTCAGTTGATACCATTTATATAAAGAGGTTTTATAGATCAAAAGCACTGTAAAAAGGTTAATTCTTATTGTTGTATGGTAGTGTATTTATTAATTAATAATATTCTGTGATACATTTAACCATTCCTCTGTCGTGGGACTTTTAAAACATTTATGATTATGTGTTCTTACAAATGCATGACTTTAGTATTTGAATGAAAGTCTGAAGTTCCTAGAGGAGTTAAAGTGGTGATACAGTTCTGCATGTCTAGGTAATGATCTGAGGTCTGATATTGCAATGATATTATTTCATTCTTTTTTCTCCAGGCAAGACTTCAGCAGTACATGGTCACAACAGATGAGCAACTTATATCTCTGACACATGCCATGAAGAACTGTCCTGTGATAAAAAGCAACAAAGAGTATCAGGCATCCGAAAGGGGATCCACAAGCAGGAAAATGATAGACAATCTGGGTGAGTATGGTCTTATCATCCCAGGTTGGCATTAAACACAGAGTAAACAAAACTATAAACTTATATGTTATTGGTCATGTATACATAGATAACATTGTCACGATGACAGTTGCCATCACTATTTCCAGCTAATATATGTTGGGTACTTGCACTATGCCAGGCACTTTTTAAGTGTTTTATGTGTATTATCTCATTTAGTCCTCGTGATAATCTAATGAGGTAAGTATTATTGTTATCCCTGCTTTCAGGATGAGAAAACCAAGGCTTCGAGAGGGTTGGTAGCTTAGCAAGATCATAAAACTAGAAAGTAGAATTTGCTTCCTAGACCACTGGGGCTTTAGTGCCAACACTTTTCATCACTGTGCACCAGGTTCAGGAGGAGAGGAGATGGTCTTGGAAAGAAAAAGAAATACTGAGTTTTAAAAATTTGTAACTTTTTTTCATTTGTGGTGGTATTTGGAAAGCCTTTCTTCACTTCCTATGCCATCCTATGTCAGAGTCTGATTAGGACAGTTAGGTTTTTTCATGTTTTTTGCTTCTAAGTAACACTTTGATGAGTATCTGTGTGTGGTAAGTATTTTATGTATTTAGGAGTGTTTTCTCATGAGGGATTCTGAGAAGTGGCTGACTAAAATTTAACTTGCATGAAATAAACTCAATGGCTGAGGCAGGTCTCAGGGACTAAGTGCTTTTCTCAAAAGCAGCCCCTTCTTCCCAGTGCTGGCCCCTTGGGAGCCTTGCCTGTGAGTTACAGCTAAAGGACGATATGGCCTAGAAAGTGAAGACTCTAGAGTCCATGTGATTTAGCTTTCTGTGGAAATGCATGTAAGTGTAAATACCTGCAGTGTATCTATAGTTACAAGTGCTGACAGCCTCTCATCTTCTTCAGAGGGCCCTGTTGTAAATGCTAATGTCTCCATGCCATTGGCGTTCAGAGGGGAGGAAGCGGCTGAATTCACACAGGAAGACTTGCCTGTTAAACTGTCTCAGGTGCCAACTCCCCCGGATAGTGTGAATCTGACTAACAGTTTTCCCGCACATATATTTGAGCCGGCTGTGTTGTTGACACCACCCAGGCAGAAGAGCAACTCAGGATTCTCTCCCTTGCAGGACGGTAAGCAGGCTTTTTCTAAAGCTGCCTGACGGTTGTTTTTTTATGCTTTATATATGCAACATACTGTGTCCATTGTTACCCAGTAAAGGGAATTCTGAAAGATATTGATTGCCACACATAAACTTTAAGCTAAAGGAGGATTTTTCAGGGTTGTGTATATCATGTGTGTTACACCTGTGGTGAAATGTCATGTTAAATTTCGTTATGTATCTGTTCTATTAGACATTGCAAATATTATATCAGATCAAAGGATTAGAGTCCTCAGCATTAAAATGTAGCAATAAAATCCTCCTTTCCCTGTAGGCCAGGAGCATAGGAAAGGGTAAGAAACAAGAGATTATATTCCAGAGAGAGAGTAATGAAATTTAGCCAAGGAAAGGTAAGAACTGTGACTATAAGGATTTTGTAAGTCAGATTTGGTTATTAACCTCTTTCTCACTGAAATTTCTTTAGCTTAGTCAGTTGAGGTAATTTTATAATGAAAGTTGATCAACAATTAAAAATAGCTTTCAGGTCACTTTTTGCAGGACATATATAGAGTTTAGAATAAAAAATTAAAAAAAATTTTTTTTTAAGATTTTATTTATTTATTTGACAGACAGAAATCACAAATAGGCAGAGAGGCAGATAGAGAGAGAGGGAGAAGCAGGCTCCCCGCTGAGCAGAGAGCCTGATGCGGGCCTCGATCCCAGGACCCTGAGATCATGACCTGAGCTGAAGGCAGAGGCTTTAACTCACTGAGCCCTAAAAATTATTGTTTATCCTTAGCTCAGAGATTCTTAACTTGGGGTACTTCTTCAGAAGTACCATGGAGTGTTTCATTGTTTGGAAAATTATGTTTATTTGTCCACCTGTGCATTTTTTCTAGAGCTATAGAACCTTTTTTTTTTTAAATAATTCTTCAGTCAAAAAACTACCTTAGATTCTCCTCCAGTGTTTTTAGAAAAATGTTATTCAGCCCTGATTTGCATACATTTTTTATTTCTTTGAGTGTTTACATTCTTACACAGGGGAACAGAATAATAACTTTTATTGTCATTGGAACTTAGAAATTTGGTCAGATTTTCTGTACCTTCTTTTCAATAAAGTACCTGAAGAGGCCATAAGAGTTAAAGAAAATGACAAGTTCTTGCGATGATAAGATTTGTTTTGGCATTTATTATGTGACTGTAAAGTCTGTCAAGTCTTTCTGGTATAGGGAGACAGTGCTAGGCTGAGGGTCAGAAGTGCTAGAATCTTGGCCCATCCGGTGACTAGCTGGGAGGCATGGAGCTAAGACACTTACCGTCTCTATATTCATTTTTCTGGCTTCAGAATGAGAGATTTTTCTTTTATCTTTAATGTTCATCTGGCTCTATAGTTCTGTGAAATGGTATCTCCTCTTTAGAGCCTAGAGAGAATTGTTAACTCTGAATCGGAGATATGATTTCAGTTCTGATTTCTGTTCAGGTTAGATTTTCATTCTCAAAGTAAGCTTTCAAATGTTTACATGGTATTAATATGCTCATCTAATGATCTCATGAGATATTATAAAGTATTTCCCACCGGTGATAGGAAGATAGCTTGAAGTTGTTCTTCTTTTTTTTTTTTAAAGTAGGCTCCACCCCCAGTGTGGGGTCCAACATGGGCTTGAACTCACAACCCTGAGATCAAGACCTGAGCTGAGATCAAGTTGAATGCCTAAGGAACTCAGCCACCCAGGCACCCCAAATTCTTTTAAAGAAACAATTACCATAAGTATTTTTACTCTGATTACAAATATACTAAATGTCCACTAAAGCAAATTATTTGGGGGCTGTTATAGACACCTCTTTGTTAGCAGGTTTGCCTTGAAAATAATGCCACACATTTCTTTTATAGTGTGCAGATGGAATAACCTTTGAACATGTATTCTTAGTTGGTGAAGTTTTGTCATCATATTTTTCAGACTTTTATTTAGAATGCCCACATATAAAAAATTGTTCAGATAAAGGTGGGAGGTACATAGAGCCGTTTATCAGCCTTTAGTCGGAATAGCTCTGTCCAATAGAACTTCTGTGATGATGAAAATGTTCTGTGTCTGCTCCATTCATATTGGTAGCTGCTAGCATCAGTGGGCACTTTAAATGTGGCTAATGTGACTGAAGAACTGAATTATTAATTTTATTTCACTTTGATTTGAATTTGAATTTGAATAACTGCCTATGTCCAGAGACTCTCGTAATGGACAGCATTGCCCTAGAATTTCCCATCATAGATCATTTCCGTTGGCTACTGATTGACTTCTACTTTCTTTTACAGCCACACTTTTTGAAAGAGTAGTATATATATGCTGTTTTCATTTTCTTATCTCCCATTCATTCTTCATTTTCAAGTGTCAATTCTAATTTATATTTTGATGCGGTTAAAAAAGGCACATACAAAGGTCTTTTCCTCTTTTATCTTTAGGCCTGCCCTAAGAGGGAAGCATTTTTTCCCAATTTGATTTCTGCTGATTTTGTGGTAGTCTCCATAATTAATATAAGATATTTTTATATATTTTCTCTTAAATTTTAACTTTATGCAATAATTGTAGACTGTCCTTTATTAAAGAAGAGGGTTTAATTGACATTAACTCCTACTTTCCTTCTCTATCTAATTTGGATGATTATATTTTAATTTTTAATTCTTCTATTGCTTAACTTTTGTGACTTCAAATACTTTCTATCTCTTCTTTGTTAACGCTATGCAGTAGCTCTTGGCTTTCCACTATGAAAGACAGGGATACTAGCTCTGCTTCCCTTCTGGCTCTCCTGTGCTTCCACTTCACACCTTCACTCAGTCTATATTTCCTTTTACTGTGTTGAGTTTGGTGACATTTCCTTTGTTCCATTACTACAATTATGTCTTCTGTGTCTTGTCTATAGATGGTTCCTGAAACTTGAAAACAAGTGACTGTTTTTTTGTTTCTTGATCTATTGTTACTATCAGTCTTTGTGCCACAGGAAGGAAAAAGTTCTTAGTATGAAGATCAAAGTGAATTTATTTCACTTAATCAGTTGTTCAGAATATTTAAGTTAGCTCTATATTTATACTGACTTTCTTCCTTAGTTTTTGTTTTGCCTGGAGTTTCGAATTGCTTTTACCCTCTTGTTTACACAAGAATAATGTGCTTTACTCTCTTGTTTACACATGAATGATAGCTTCTGGTCCTTTAGTTATACTGTGTGTGGCATGGAATCCGCTTTCATTCCAGAGATAATTCCCAGAGCTCTTCCACCCCGCTCCAGTCTGCACTGATTGCTCACTCGGGCCCGCCACATACCTCTTATCCTGGGACTTGCTAAGGTCACACTCCTGGGGTTATATCTACTATTTCCTGGATTCCATTTATTCCTCTTTGGTTTTCTCCCTCAGGTTTCTGAAAGAAATCATTAGAATGAGTGTATAGAAGGTAAATCCCTAAGTTCTTAAAATTCTGAGAACATTTTTCCTTTTTCTGTTATACTTGGTTGATAATTTGCCTAGATATAGAATTCTAGGCCCATAATCCTTTACCCTGAGAAATTTGAGGCATTGTTCTATTGATTTTTACTATCTGGTGTTGCAGTTCAGTTGTGTGATGTAATATCTAACTTTTATTTCTTTGTATTTGACCTACTTTTTCTTTGTGGAAGCTTTAGAATTCCTTTATTTTTATTCTGACCTTGCATAAGGTGTGTCTAAATGTGTGGGTTTTTTTTTTTTTTTTCCCCTCATTGCACTATGAGGCACCAGTGGGACCTTTTGGACATGAAGACACATGACTTTCCGCAGTTTTAAAAAATAGTATATTGACCTTCTGGACCATTTTCTTATGTATTTAGCCTTATATCTTCCTTCTTATATTCTGGAAGATTTTTTTTTTTTTTCACTTTATATTCAACCCTGTCTTTTATTTTTTTAAAAATTTCACCAAGTTATATTTTTAATTTCTAAGCAACAGCCCTTTCTTAGTGTTTGATTGTCCTTTTTTCTTTGATGCTTATTACAAATGCATTATCTTGGGGCACCTGGGTGGCTCAGTTGGTTAAACGGCTTCCTTCAGCTCAGGTCATGGCTTCAGGGCCCTGGGATCGATTCTGGAGCCAGGCTCCTTGCCCAGCAGGGAGTCTACTTCTCTTTCTCTCTCAAATAAATAAATAAAAATTAAAAATAACAACAACAACAAACAGCACAACAAAACCAAACAAATGCATTATCTTCCAGAAACATTCTTCTGAGTATACCCTTTAGAATTTTATTACATTATCTTTTGTATCTGAATTTTCCTTCTCTTCTGAGTATACCCTTTAGAATTTTATTATATTATATTTTGTATCTGAATTTTCCTTCTGTTCTGAGTTTACCCTTTAGAATTTTATTATATTTTGTATCTGAATTTTCCTTCTGTTCTGAGTATACCCTTTAGAATTTTATTACATTATCTTTTGTATCTGAATTTTCCTTGCGCTTTCTCTCTCTGACAAATGAATAAATAAAATCTTAATAAAAAAAAAAAGACTGAGCTGCTTGAGCAGAGATGGTTTTATTCATCTCTTTGTTCTCCAGTGATGGTTGTTATTACTTTTATTTGTTAGCCAAAAGAGACTGGAAAAGCCGTAGTAGGCAAGTTGTGTTGTATCAATGGATATTAGATAGAAGACATGCAATTTTTTTATTGATCTATCCATTTCACATACCATTTAATTATCTTATAGAAGTGTACAATTCAGTGGTTTTTAGTATATTCACAGAGTTTTACACCAGCACCGTTATCTAATTCCAGGATGTTTTCCTCACCCCAAAGAGAAACCCCAAGCTTGTTAGCAGTCACTCTTTGTTCTCTCCTCCTTACAGCTCCTGGCAATTATAAATCCACTTTGTGTTTCTAAAGATATGCCAAATGTGGATATTTCATATAAATGGAATTATGCAATATGTAATCTTTTGTATCTGATCTCTTTCACTTAGCATAATGTTTTCAGGGCTTAACTATGTTGTAGCATGTGTCAGTACTTCAT